ACCAACCAGAAAGTGTGTCCTGGATTTTCTTGTCCATGCTGGTGGTTAAGTGCAGCGGTGAGCAGTCCTTGTCCACGGCTAAGGGAGATCAGCACCAAGCTAAGGGAGATCAGCACCAAGCTATGCACCTGCTCCTGCTATGGTCCCTGCAATACATGCTAGGTCATATATTCAAGAGAGAAAGTTTCCATATTACTCACTATTTCACTATCCTAAAACCTAGACAGCAAATTTGCTAAATTAAAGAAGCAGACACAGTCCTGTAACACACAATTATAGGCACACTCCTAAGTAAACATTTTTTTTTTTTTTTTACTTAAAATTAAAGGTTAGGCTGAAAACTACCACAGAAACATCTCCAATGAGAACTCTGCAGCAACTCAGACACTGCTCAAATGTAATCACAATCGTACATTCAGAGAACTGAATCAAGCCCCTAGAGGTAGATTCCATTCAATATTAAAACACATACATTTGGGTAACTATGAGATAGGTGTTCTAGTCAGTAGAAATCTAATTAATACATTAATGGGCTCCAGAGAGCAAGACAGTTTCCCCTAATGAAGACACCGACATGGTCTGTGCTCCTCTGAAAATGGAAGCCTCCAGGAAAATGGCAAAATCTAGACTGGTGGCAAAGCAAGCCAGGAGCATTTCAGCTGCCTCCCAGTACATCCAGTTCAGCTCTTTGCCTTTACTGTTTTTGGACCATGCCTCCTCTCTTGGGACCTTTATGTAGCCATATTGCTTTGCATACTGGCCAACGTAACCAGTTCAGTCACATCTCAAAAGATATCTAAGCGATATAGGATTTAAAACAAAACCTCAGTGAAGCAGAAACTAACTCATAGGACTAAGTCTTACTTCCACACTACAATTTCTTTAAACTTATGTATAGGGGAACCTATTGTAGCCAGTACTATAGTTCTGTAATAAAAGTTGCTTTTTAAAGGGCAAATATTTATTTTGCAGGTTAATACTTACCCCAACGGCTTTACATTTTATTTATCCTGAGCAGCAGGAAGAAGCAAAATATTCTTTTTATTTTCTTTATAGCCTTAAAACAGATTTCCCTGTTTACTTTTGAACAAGAAAGATTAAACATCCTTATGCTCATTGTTGGCACCTCTGGTAACCATACTGGACTAATACTGCACGTGTGAAAGAGAGAAATCAGCCTGAAAGCCTCTTCTATAATTAAACTTTTGGCAAAACTGAAGCCAAATGTGATTTGGGTTATTCTGACAAGAGCAATAGGACTCACTGGAATGAGTGCCCTCACTCCATACTCACCACTACCACATCAAATCAAAACCTGCTGCAGAGGACAAATCTAAGTACCGAGATTCTTTATTTTAGGGGAAAAAAAAATCAGCAATGGGTCTGCATCATCTGGATAACCACAGGCAGTGAAGTATCCTGTGAGCAGCAGACCGTACAAGGCCTGATTTCCTATGGACTAAGTCATGCATCCCCATGAGCTACTTGCCAAGCCCCAGCCTCCCTTCCTCCACAACACCATCAGTGTTTTCACACCCTCTGGCCATGATCCCAAGCCATATGTGTGCTCAGTGGACTGCTGGCAGGCCAAACAGAGCAGGTAACTACTTCGTTCAGGCTGCAGCCTCCCCTTAGGGGAAAGGGGCACTGCCCTAATCTTCCCACTGACTTTCACAAAACTTGCAGGAAGTATCTTTGTTATTGGAGACCTCTATTTCTATTTTCAGAGTTGCTGGACAAGGGCTAACAGGATGAAAGATGCAGTGGAAGAAGCAGGACTAATATACAGTGCAGTTGTGTAAGTAGAAGTTAAAAGAAGAGAAGAAAAATTAAAGACACTCAGTTTAATTATAGATTGCTTTCTTGACAGCCTGTGCAGTTCATGGTGGTCAACAAATAATACAACATCTACATACAGAAAGTAATGTATTTATTGCAATTATTGAGCCTAAAAGTAAAAGAGATGATACTTTTTCCATATGGAAAAGCAATGGAAGCCAAGAGCTAGTTGAAGAAAGCTGTTGGGATACATGACAAAGCCAACGGTTTCACTTTCCAGTCCTCCACCTCTGCATGCCAAGGATGCTCCCAGTTTGATCAAGTTCATCCCACCTTCGGATTCCCTTTTTTAGACTAATTCAAAACCAGAATAACACCTTCCTCCATCTCCCTACCCCAAAGCTTAACTACTCTCCGTATAGCAGAGAGGAGCTGCACCAGGGGAACAGCTCTGATGCTCGGTTATGAAGTGGGGCCTGCAAAGGGTCGCACCCTGGTGGCCCTGTGGCAGTTACACGGGGGGTTGCAGACAGAAGCTCAGATGGGTTTGGGGTTGCAGGGATCATGAGAGGAAAAGCTTCAAAACCAGAAGGTTGCTGCCACACACCAGAGGCACACAGCGGGGCTGAGGCTGTCAGGGCCCTGTGGAGGCCACCAGGCCCCAGCCCTGCCCCAGCAGGGCCACCCAGCGCAGGCTGCCCAGGCCCATCTCCAGGCAGCTTTGGAAGGCCTCCAAGGAGGAGACCCCACAGCCTCTCTGGGCAGCCTGTGCCAGGGTCCTCACCCGCACAGCACAGAGCTCCTGGGGCTCAGGGGGAGCCTCTTATCTGGACAAAGTCAGGGGCTGTCTCTGAAACTGTCTGAGAGAAACCAACACCTGCTGCTGGGGAGTTTCGGGCAACCTCTCTCACCACAACCCAAAGCCCTAACGTACCACCTCACTTCAGTGCCCAAGCCGGAAAAAAAAGAAAGAAAGAAAGAAAGAAACTTTTACATCATAAAACTTTTTCACATACAAACCCAAAGTGAACACACACACTTTAACCAGTTTACATGCACAAGCCCCAAGTTGATTCAGGAAAATAAATAAATAGATAAATAAATAAAAGCAGCAGGAAGCTGTGTGCTAGTGCAAGAATACCGTACCTATAGACATTTTTAGAACAAAGGGAGAAAAAAAAAACAACAAAAAACAAGAAGGTTCTCAATGCAGCAAGTATAGAAAGTTCAACAATGTGAGAAAGTTTTGATATGACTGTGGAGCTGTCCCCTTCCTCTCAAGATTTAAGAGATTACAGTGCAGATTTGTAAAGCAGTTTTTAACAGACTCTCCATGCCTCCACACCTACAAGTACCGTTAGCAAAGCTGTTGGTATATCAGCACCACTTAACCATTGGGACAGTTTAGAACATCACTACTTTTTATTTTGAAAGAGAAGCTTACATATTTCTGCAACTACTCAAAATTCAACTTCCCTCCAGTTTACACCTAGCATAATTTTTAAGCTCCAGCCACTGGTTGACAAAGATCTTGCTGCTCTAAGTGCTGTGTGTCAGCCCCGTTTGCCTACACACCTCCATCACTCCCCATGTATGGACACTCTGAACAACAAGCAATTTAATGATCATCAAGCTGAGAGCTCCCCTTTGCAGAAATAGGTCTGGATCCCACCTGCCCAGAGCCCCTTGTGCAGCTCAGGCAGCCATTTCGTAGAGCACCTTGCTTGGAGAAGCCAAGCTTTCAGGAGGACATGAGAAGGCAGCACATAACACACGGGCATTGCAGAGCAACCTGAGATGCCATACTCTGATCTGACACCATTGAGAGCTACAGATATAAAGTAATAACATGTTCTGCATGCATTTCTGTGCCTCAGTTTCCTCACCTCCTTGAGCCTCCCCAGGATGCTGCAGGTGACAGATCCTCCGCAGGCATCAGACCAGCTCCCCATGGCTGTGGCTGGTCTTCACCCTCACCACCCCAAGAGCAGTCTCTTCTCTTCCAACCCCCACACTTCCTGTGTATCTGTTTTTTCTTCCCCAACCAAAACTTTTTGTCTTAGAGGTTAGCACCAGCTCCTAACGGTTTTTGTCCTGCTGAGATATTTGGGTCCACCCTGCTCTTTTTTTGAGTTTCTGCAGCTGCTGCCTTGGTATCTGACACTTGAAGGAAACTACTGAAGTTACTGCTATACCTGGTCTTGGAGGGATATATGCCACCTAGAAGCAAACTGTGGGCTCCACCACTCAGTAGTTTCTAAATGATATCAAAATCTCAGTCAAACTTATTTTATTGTACACAGAAAGATCCACAAACTTAACAAATGCACATACACTAATTTCAAAGAGATCTCAAGCCAACAAGTGCAATCATAACAAGCCACGGGTTTCACGGAGCTGGAGATACAATGCTTGATTACATCGGGTCTTCTGCCAAAGTAGGGTAAGAAGGCCGCAGAGATTTTTGGGGAGATAAAGAGGTCTTCAGGGAAGCCAAACATGATAGTAACACTCATCGGATGACACTGGTGGATCGGAACAAAATGCTAATGAAATGATCAGTCTGCTTATTGCACAAGGTGAAGCAAGAGTTTGTTTTCCTCAAAGTCTCAGCTAGTGAAATGGGAAAAATAGCAGACTTAAAAAAGCAGCTGAGTAAAACAAAGCACAATAAGTTTTACTGTGGTTGTAAAATGTGTTTCAGTAATCTGCAGCAAATGGTCTCAGCGATGCCAGGGGAAATAATACCCCCAAAGGAGCGACTTGTGAGGTGAAAATCTAACCTACCAGGAGGAGACCACCAAAATCAGCTTTACAGCAAAGGGGAGCAAGTGCAAATGGCTCAAGACAAGGCACGCGGATCCTATTTTTCACATTTTTCTCTGTGACCACCTTTGTGGCCACCTCAGAGACCTTCCACATGCCGAACTTTGCCAGAAATAATGATTAAAATGCAACCGATTGTGTTTTAGCAATCCACGTGCCTGCTTTTCAGTAGCCTGTGCGCCTCTGTGGCATTTGCAGAAAGAGTTTAGTTTAAAAACTAGATGTATGTGTTCGTGGCAGGCAATCCCTTGACACCACCCCAAAAAAAAAAAAATCAGGCGGAACGCCGCACTCGGGGGCGCTGTTGCCGGGCGGGAGGCGGAGGCCGGGCGGGCCGGAATTGAGGGCCGGAAGGGGGGCGGCTTTGGGCGCTGCACCGCCAGGCTCTGGCCGGGCAGGCGGAGGGGTGAGCGCTGCGGGGCTGCCACCCCGCCAGGACCCCCCCAAATCCCCCTAAAACCTCCCCCAAACCCCCCAAAACCTCCCTAAAAGCCTCCAGGAGGATGAACCTGGAGCGGCTGCGGAAGCGGGTGCGGCAGTACATCGACCAGGTGGGGCGCGGGGCGGCGGCCGTTGGGGCTGCGGCCCTGGGGGGGAGGCGTGAGGCGGCGGCAGAGCCCTGGGGGGCCCCAGGCAGCCCCACGGCTGTCACCCTGCGGGGAGGTGCAGGGGTGATCACGGTTTTTCAAGTGCTACATGTCCTGTCGCTGCCCCAGGGTATCTGTGCGGTGTGCAGCAGGGCCTGGGAAGCACATCGTCCCTCCTCACAGCTTGGAGAAGGGTGAAAATTATAAATCAGTAGTCCCTGCTCATCTTTTCAGATAATAATTCCAACCAGTTTTCAGAGTTTTTCTCCTAGTACCTCAAATCTGATGATAAACGTAGCTTAGTTACTGGGAAGGACCTGCACCCCCTGCTCCATTCTCTCCTTGCTAACGTTCTGCTCTATTTCACCCCCTTCTCCCTAACCCTGGGCTTATAACTCAAGCTATCCATGCAAACAAATGGAGAATTTCCTTCCTGCTTCCCACAGAGACTGTGGTTTGTGTGAAATTAAAGCGTCCTGAGTGGAAAATGAGCATTTCTTAATCAGACATGCTGCTGCAAAATGTTCTTGCAGTGATGTTTGTGTCACTTCTTTTGTGTCTTTCTTCCAAAATAAACATTTATTTTAACTGCCAGGGTGGGTAGTTTCATGCTACTTTTTCAGTGACAGCAAATGAACTAATCACTTTTTATTAATTAATTAATATTAAGTTATTATTTAGCACTTGCCTTTTGGTCAAACATACCTGCATTTAATTGAAAATAAATGCACAAACCCATCTCAAATGACATTTGAAAGACATCAAAAAGAAACGGGGCTGGCCCTTTCAAACTGATTTTTGAACTTAGAACGAACTCAAAAGTGAATCACCGTTCATTGGAGAATACACACATAATAAGATATTAAATGGAAATTATGTATAATATATTTCAAGGTAAGCCCGGGACACTACTCTACAATAAATAGTAATTATTCCTGTTATTTTTTTTACAGCAGCAATATCAAAGTGCCCTGTTTTGGGCAGACAAGGTAGCTTCACTGTCTCATGGTAAGTAGGTGTTTGTTACGTTGTTCTTCAGTAACTTCTTTCTGGTACCCTTGCTCTCTGTTCTTTCCTTTATTTTAAGCTTCTTGGCTAAACATTGAAAATTGGACTTGGTGCAAGTGGTTTTCTGTGGTGTTTGGAGTGCTGTTGTTCCAAACGGAGCAGGGCCAGCCTTGCTTCCCTTTTAACTTTGTGTTAAAGTTAGTGTTTGGCCAAACCCACAAGTGAAGAGGTGGTAGGGGAGAAACCTAGACAGTAGTAGTTCCCTACAGGACGTGCTTTTGCTGTGGGTGCTCAGGACAAACAGAACCCAGGTTAGCAGAGCGTGTTGATGCTGGCAGGCAGAAGGAGAGCTGAACATCAAGGTGCAGATGTCTAATAAGGTTTCAGTGTAGTTGGGTTCTTACTGATCATTGAAAGAGCCAATTCTCAGTTGTTTTTCTCTGTTCTGACTGTGTCCAAGGGCAAGGTAACCTATAGCTCCTGCAAACAGCTTGTTTTAAATCTGTACCACTGTCATCTCCTTCTCATGACACACCTCTAGTACAAGATTCATTGTATTCACTGTCCAGAGCACTATATGATTTCTTTAGAGGTAAAATATAATAGGTTTTGTTCATTTTAAGAGACAGATAAGTTGTTTATATACAATATATGTATGTAAAACACAGTAACTTTAAAGGTTGCTAGAACAGTGGAAAACCAGTACTCTTCTAGGGAAGCAAAACGGAATGTTCTGTATGAAATTGTTTAAAAATACTGTAAATTTATATTTTATATTTTCTTCTTTATTTTTAAGAGGAACCTCAAGATATCTACTGGTTGGCCCAGTGTCTTTACCTGACAGCTCAGTATCATAGGGCAGCACATGCCCTTCGATCCCGTAAATTGGATAAGGTAAGTCATTTTGGACAAGGACACATTACTGCCGTTCCACTTACAAACCTCTGCTAACCACAGTGGCTTCCTCACCATCAGAGATTAAAGTCTGCAGGAAGGTTGATTGTTAAGCCTGCATAATGTAGTTTATCTGAACCAGGTATAGCCATGTTCGGACAAGATAAGGAAAATATCTTTGCCATGAAGGTTGTCAAACCCTGGAAGAGGCTTCCTAGCAAGGTGTTTGATGCACCCCCATGCCTGTCAGTGCTCATGGGGTGCTTGGGCAATGCCCTCAATAACATGCTGTAACGCTTGGTTAGTCCCAAAGTGGTCCATCAGTTGGACACTGATCTTTGTAGGTCCCTTCCAACTGAACTGTTTTATGTGTTGGCCCAAGGTGGGGTGAGAGAGAAGAGGAGGAGTCCAAGGATGGAAGAGCAGTAGGTATGGGAAGGTGGGGTGTCATTTAAAGTGTAATTATTTCAATTGTCCTTCTGCTCTACTACTAAATGTGGCACGAGTGAATATTATGTCCTTAGACTGTGGGAGTTTAATAGTAGAGAAAGTGTTACAGACTTAGTTAGTCATTTTGGTCAGCAAAGTTCTCTGTAGGTGAACGGGTTGAAGAAACTACAACCAAAAACAGAGCAAGAGGGAGTCTAGCAGTGGAAGTAAATGTGCTGTCTTAATTACTAACACAAATTAAATCTTTCTTCCAGTTATATGAAGCCTGTCGCTACCTTGCAGCTAGATGTCACGTGAGTACACATTTTAATCAGTATTGGAAACATAGCAAACTAAATAAGAGGTGCGTCTTTGGAAGATTAGGTAGCTGAGACACAGCGTAGCTGTATGAGGATTGACATTCATTGGAATAACAGGCTTACATCTTGTGGTAGTTGATTTCTTCATCCCTTAACTTTGACTGTGGTTGGTGGAGTACCATTGTGGTACTCTACTCCGTAGCAACCCAGTTGACCTTTTGTCCAGGAAAGCAAACATTCCTTTTATACAAGAGTGTGAGTGATTTTTCTCTCATGTCTGCATGTTTGTTTTTAATTAATTGGTTGTAGTCCATCAAGAGATGTTCTTTATGATTGTGTAAATATAGTTAGCAGCTTTGTCCTTCCGTATAAAAAGCAATACGTAAATGGTAAAATGCAATGCTTTCACAGCAAAACAGAATCAACTCCTAAATTAAATACAAAAATATGAAATAAAATATTGTGCTTACTATAGAATAAGTCAACTGTATTTTATTAAATCCTGCATTCTCTATTTTAAGAGGAACATCTACTTCTGTGATTGCATAATGGCAAATAATTTTCTGTAGGTGCTAATTCTGTTAATGTAAGTTGTATATTATAGGTGACTAGTAAAACAGTTGATTATGATTATAAAATGGCATGTGTCCAAATAAGACTCTGCATGCCTAAAAAACCTTGCTGGTAAGTACCAGTTACAATCTGTGCCTTTGAAATGTGACTTTATGTACAGATGTTTCAAATCCCAACCTTGTTTTTTTTGCATGCACGTGTTTGTGGCTAGTATGCTGCGAAAGAACATCAACAGGCCCTGGATATCCTTGATATGGAAGAGCCAATCAACAAAAGACTTTTTGAGAAGTACTTGAAGGATGAAAATGGATTAAAAGACTCGACCACGGACTGGGAGATGTCGCAATCCTCTGTAAGTGACAATTTTTAAGCAAGTATTTTTATAACCAAGGAAAAAAATGTGTGAAGTCAAAAAGTAATTTAGCAACTGGATGAATCTGAAGCTCGAGGTGTTTACGCTTTCCTTTCTGGATAACATAATTCTCAGAAATGCTGAATCATTCTCTTCAATCAGAAGTCCGCTGTCAGCTTGCCTGTATGAAAGTAACTTGATTTGCAAAAATTAAAAGTGCTTTGTAACAACTTTCTGTGAGTTTTTGCAGGCACTTTGTGGGAAGTTCTTGACCTAGCATTGGTTTTTAGAGTCTTCTAGCTCTATTCTGCAATTTCAGTCTTTGTAATATAAACTAACATTTATTGCAGTTGGGCTGCAGGTGCTGAGATAATAAAGCACATTTTCCTCTCCTTCAGGTATTTTTTTAACCAGAGATTTCCTTAATCATTCAGACGGTGTTCTCAGTGGGACATTGCTTGTCACACGTGAGAATTGTGTTGCATTAAGGTGAAGATTTCTGAAGCTCAGTGGAAAAAAACCTGTGTAGCACAGGTGGTCCTCAGATTTGGCTGTGTGTTCATTCTCCTTCACCATTTTCTGTTTTGTGGTACTCTGACCCCAATGTCTGGGTGGCCAATTGTTGAACAACTATTTTGGCTGAGAAATAACCCCATCAAAAACTCAACTTCATCAGCCCTTATCTTTACAAATGCAGTTGATGTAGTTCAAGGATGCAAGGAGGGTAGATTTGGCCTGCCAAACGAGGGAGCTAGTCAAGTTGATATTGCTACAAGAAACCTTAAACCAAACTCTTCTCCAGGAATGTCACTTTTTCAGTCTTACTTGCTTGGTTTGCACAGACACTTGTTCTGGAGTAAGAGTCACTGGCCTGTGAAGTGGTAACAGTGTTTATTATCTCTTTGGCAGCCCCCTAGGTCATATTGGTTGTTAAAACAGCTCTGCTTTTTCTTTTATATGGACTTCTGTCTGATTAGTGTGACAATAAAGATACATAATGTGTAAGTTTTCTCCAAATAACGTGCTGACAATTCTGTGGCCTTCTGACTGAATAAAACACCCATCCTTGGGAGTTTCATCCGTGAAAGAATGTGTTCGTCATTAGACATCCTAGCACAACTTCAATTTGGTAATAATTACCTTTCACTGCTTTTTGTTTCTGAAACAACCTGTTTTGGGTTGAAAGGAAGAATTATTTTTTTTCTCAAAGCAGTTGCGTCCATTGATTTGGCCTTTTTCAACTCTGCTGAACTTCTTGTTTTTTGTGAAATGTGTGGTTTAAAAGTAAAGAGAGATGAATTGCCTTGGAAGTGCCCGTCTGATTTTTAAGCTTGTAGAAACAATATTATATTTAAAAACAGCACTAGGAAACCAGGTTCCATCATACATGAAATGCTTTTTACTTTTCAGGGAGCCCATTTGATTTGTGCTCAAAACCAAATTGCAAACATTGATTCAGTCTTTGACCTCCAGCCCTGCTTTTCCACCAGATCAAGAGCTCTATATGCCTTTTGCGAGGGAAGATCTATGATGCTTTGGATAATAGAACCCTAGCAACATACAGCTACAAAGAGGCCTTGAAGCTTGATGTTTACTGCTTCGAAGCGTTTGATCTTTTAACATCGCACCATATGCTGACAGCACAAGAAGGTCTGGATAGCAGTATTTCTCTAATATAAGTACAATTTAGCTGCTTTCTAATATGCTTTTTCCTGGATAATGAAACAGTATTGCAAGTAAGAGGGTATAAAATATGAAGTACAGGTTGCCCTCGTGTGCTAGGAAAATACTAGGCAATGGTTATGTTAAAAAGTAGAAGAAAACTTTGAATTGCTCGAAAATTGTAACTGTTCAAATTTGTGTTAGGACTTTAGATGTTAGTTTTGCCAGGCTAAGAATTAAAAGGAACAAAGGAACCCAGGAGTCTCCTTTGTTAGCTCCAGAAGCTCCCCTGCTCTTTGCCTGACCTAAACGAAGTTTTTCTTGGTGTTACCAACTTCACAGCCTTTGGATTTACAAAACCCTGTTGGGTTTTGCTACACTATAGTAGGCAGCATTTAATAGAACATTCTGAGTGGTAAACTTGGATGTATAGCATAAATAAAAATAATGGTGCTATGTCATTAACCTTCCATTTTAAAAGTCTACAAGGAAAAACTAAGTAAGAATTCAATCATTAATTTCCATAATTAGTATTACTATGTTTTAGTGCATCTGTGCTGTTATTTTGCATCTCTAAGCTCTGATATTTGACCTTGCCGTTTTTCTTTAATGTGACCATTTCAATTTTCTTTTAATTTACTTAGAAAAAGAACTTCTTGAATCTCTACCTCTTAGCAAACAATGTACGGAAGAAGAACAAGAATTGCTGCACTTTTTGTTTGAGAATAAATTGAAGAAGGTAAAACCATAAACGGAATAAAAAGCTGATGGGTTGCATGAAATTCCTGACTTCAGATGTAAATTTTGTTTGGTTCTGTTTATTCCAAACTTTGGAAAATCAAGGGCTCTGTAGCGTTGGTTATTTTTAAAATTTATGATACAGTAGGTATCATTTTTTGAATGCTAGAAAAGTTCTGTGTAAGCTCATCTGTTTCAGCTTTATTTCTTGAGAATACATTAATTATGTAGGCAAAATATCAATTTCCTGAAACTACTACGTTATAACAATATTCTTCCAAAATATTTCAAAATATTTTTTTCTAAAGAGAATATAAGAACACTGCAAGCCAACTCTATATAACTCAATATTCATTTCTACAGCCTACGCTTCATGCACTGGCGACCATATTTCATCTTCCAAATGAGCTTTTAAGCATACTGCAAAGAACCATTTGAGCAAATACAGGTCTTACGAACTTTAAGCTTCTTAAAATTCATAACATCAATGTAGTTATATTATTTTAGCAGTATTTTATAACATTTGATTTTAGATTGGATTTGCACATTGTGTTTCTTTTGTCTTTCAGTATAATAAACCCAGTGAAACATTGATTCCTGAGTCAGTAGACGGCCTTCAGGAAAACCTGGATGTAGTAGTGTCCTTAGCTGAAAGACATTATTATAACTGTGATTTCAAAATGTGTTACAAGCTTACTTCTGTGTAAGTATACAAAGTAACTTTGATTCCTTTTCTAGTATGATGTAGAATAATAATTATGACTGGACTTACTGTGACTCTTACTGTTCAGTGCATTACATGCCTAAGAATTTGATACAGGGTTTCAGGTAGTTAAAATACATAGTTTGTGCCCAGCAAGACACCTTGTATCCCTTGGAACACAAAGGGGCAAGACTTAGGGGAAAGGTGCAGAGAATGCTGATCGTGTGAATTGGAACAGCTGAGTAAAATCAGGATCCTGTTGAAGTAAATAACTCCAATGAAGTTATTAAAATTTTATACTTTTCCTGAAACTAAATGTTTCCTTTGGCGTACTGCTTAATTTTGCAGAGCCTGTTTCCTTAAGCTCAGAAAATATAGGCCTTGCTGAAAAGTTGCTGTCCAGCCTGTGCAACTTAAAGGTTGGATAAGCCATGTTGTCTGGTAGTTAAATTTGAAGTGGCCTGCAAACAAATAGTATACTGTATTCTGGTTTTCTTCTAACTTTATATTCAGCTTAGCAAAATTTTGTGTTAGCCCTGTTAAGCTAAATCAATAGTTATTTTTCTGGTCTTAAACCTTTATTGTACCAGTAATTATGTTACAGTATTACAGTAGTTATGTTCTAGTCACAAATGGCTGTCTAATGCCAGAAGTGGTAATTAACTGGAACATTACACAGTATAAAAGCAGCCTGTTTCAAACACACGTTTTTGAAATGCGTATCACAGATCATTTTTTTCTAATTTTATTTTTTTAGAGTAATGGAAAAGGATCCATTCCATGCAAACTGTTTACCTGTGCATATAGGGACGCTTGTGGAGCTTAATAAAGCAAACGGTAAGAAACACAACATTTTTAATGAGTCAAAAGAGCACTGTCATGTTTCAATTTTACAAAGGAATTAAAGATGCCAAGAAACCCTGTTACAGACCATTTAAAAAAATAGCCACCCCTAAAATTTGATGTGAAAACCTGTTTATTTGTCCTCTGACTTGCAGTTTCAAGAAAATAACGGGTAAGTGGAAGAGAAGGCAGTTTCAGAGCTGATGGTGAGGGTTGGGGAAGTAGTTGTGCAAATAATCTTTGCTCGCAATCGTGAGCTACAGTGCTGCATTTCAGTTCTTTGATTTATGTGTTGATGTGATCTTCCTAGAGAATCTAGGTGTACTTTTCCCCCCTTAACAAAATAAAATGTATTAATTTAAACTGGGAGGATCTTTTCAACAGTGTGGATGCTCAGGTGGTCATGCTTTTTCCATGTTAGAAGACTTTCTATGCTGTCTCTCCTTGCCTTTGCTATTGTGAAGGTCTCTTTATAGTTCAAGTAAGCTTATAATCAGACACCACCTCTGCTGAACTACAAGAATAGCTTACTTGCATCTGGGATGGCTTTTTCTCATTTCAGACTGCATATAAACACCTAAATCAAGTGAAGAGCTTGAATGTCTTTAGAACCAATTGGAAGATAGAATAAGGAGCTCATATGATTTGCAGTCTCTCAAAGGATGGTGCATTGTATGTACACACAGAGGTCATTAGGTGCACTGCTACTTCTCTATCTTCAGTTAATGTAAAGTAACTGAAAAGGACAGTTAGCTACATCTGAATATGTGGCCAGTACTGTGATCTTCATTTGAAGTCTGCCTTGAAGCTTTTTGTAAATAAACTGGTATTTTGCAAGCAACTTCTCATATTTGTTTTTTCTGAAGCAAAGAATTGATGCTATGCACTCTAGAATTGAACTCATTGATATAAGAGCACCATGCTCTGATGAAATTGTTTTGTGTATTGTAATGCAATTTCCCTTGAAATTGTTTAGGCATTAAAATTGTTATCCCGTATCTGATTACTTCCATTTTTATTAGAAAATCTGTAGCAAGTTTTCTAACAAAAAATAATCCTCTTTTTTTCTAAGAAGTAATCACACAGATTTATTTCAAATAATGGAACAATTTATTTACCTTTAAAAGTCCTATTTTCATCATATTAATGCACAGTACTCTCGTTTTGAAATTGAGCTAGCCAGTATGTTATACTTTTTAGATGTAGAAAGCTAAACCATGTTTAAGTGTACTATACTACAGATCTTTACTTTAATGTAATTTAGTGACCCAATTTGTTGCAGAACTCTTAAGGAGTGGGATGTATAGCTGCTTGTTTGTGTGCTCTGAAGACTTAGGTTGTTTTTTTTAACTAACTGCAAAAGTATATCCGTTTTGAGGCAGTCTGAAGCATTACCACTAAAATGTTTTTGTTTATTGTGTATTAGTAACTCTAGACATGCTTCCTGTTTTTATAGAAAGCTAAAGGAGAACTTGAAACATCTTATGCTTTATCATATTTTAATATTCTTGTCTTTTTTTTTCCCTTGTGCAGAACTTTTCTATCTTTCTCATAAACTGGTCGACCTGTACCCAAATAATCCTGTAAGTTGTTCTATGCCTTCACTACCAAGTAGTTTTCTTTAGCTTTTATTTGCTGTCACCTATAACATAATAGTCAGTTTGAGCAACAGAATATTAAAAATAAATAAATAAAATATTTTTTGATTGGAGCTGGTGAAAATTGGTCATTCTTTTTTTTCTGTACATTGTAATTATATTAAGGTAGATTTTTTTATTAAAGTACCTGTAAAACATGCAACATGAAGAATTCACTTTGCATAATCGTTTAGAAAGTGCTACAATAATAGATGGATATGCCTTTCTGGGCAACCTATTGCAATGTTTGATCACCTTCATTGTGAAAATCGAATCCTTTTATTCAATCAAATTTTCTGTGTTGCAACTTGTACCCACTGCCTCCCGTCCTGTCACTGTGCACCTCGTGAGAAGAGTTGCTCAGTCTCCTGTATTCCCTATGATTAGATAAAATTGATGACAGCAATAAGCTTTCCACTTAGCCCTCTTTTTGAGGCTAAACAAAAAGGCCTCTTTTTGAGGCAGCTGTAGTGACATACAGCTGCCAGCAGTTCTAGCTTGTCTGTGATGTAAAACAAATCGAAAAGCTGACTGATGTCTGTGAAAACATTCATAGCTTTTATAGTTGTGTTCCCTTGTTACTTATCACTTATGATGATGCTTTGCTAAAATCAGGGTGATATATCTCATAATAATTCTATTTTTAATGTGTAGGTGTCATGGTTTGCAGTAGGATGCTACTATCTCATGGTTGGCCACAAAAATGAACATGCTAGAAGATATCTCAGGTAAAACTTGTTTTTCTAGTTTTCTCTACTGAATCTGTTGTTCATTTGCTAAGTAAATATTTAACATCCACATTTGTTGATAAGCTCATACAGTAAGCAGAAGCCTTGGTATGCTGGTTACTGATAAATTATTCCTTTTTTTATAACCTGTTTCTGGTATGGCAACTTAGACCTAAATCTTCCAGATACTTTAAAAATAATTTAGAGGCTTACCTGAAATTTCGTGCCACTTACATTCCTGTTATTAGCGGGTGTAGTCACTGCACTTGCTTATGATGCCAAGCTAATTACAACTAGGTAATCAAGCCTCATTTTTTTAGTGTAAGGATACTCAAGCATTCTCCCTGGTTCAGGTTGCATATCTAAAAGGGAAGAGTTAGACAGAATTAGACAGCCAAATGGCAGGATTTTCTTTCTTAGCACAAACAGCCTTGGTTTGTCAGAGAAGCCCAGCGCCCTTTGCTGTGTTCTGTATGTGTATTGATTGTCAGCATCAGAGAGCAGAACCTGGCTGTGAAGTACAGCATTTATTTTGGTACTGAAAGCTTAAACTGAGAAGCCTTAAACCAATCTGTAAGGCTTTCTTTTTTCTTTTGGAGACCTTTAAAGACTGGCAATATATGTAAAGATGAGTCACTAACAGACTATTTGAATGTCTGGTTATTCTGAATAGCCTATTTAAATTCCTGGCAATTAGCAGTGTGCTCAGTAAAATTCTTCAAGAAGTTGTCCTGAGAGCCTGAAGTAGTTTGAGGGGTGAAATAAAGAACATCACTATTAAATATGCAAGCATCCCTAGCCAGGAAGGTCCTATATATGTGTTGGGGGAAGAGGGGAAGAAAACCCCACAGAAGTCAGAGTAATCGTGGCAAAGAGGGGAAAAGAGGTCTAGCAAGAGTAGAATAGTAATGAGATGCCTGAATTTCTTGGGGAAGAATGATGATGTACAACTACAAGGCTAGTGATAACTGGACGAAGCAGTAATTTGTTAGGAAAGTATCTGGAGAGGCTATGGATAAAAATACCAGCTCCTATATCGCTGTTTTTGGAGTCAGTAGGACATCATGCTGAACACAGTAGATGGTATATCTGGGCAGTGCGCAGTAGTGTGTTAAAGAAAGTATCGTTCTGGTTGCTTCAGAAGGAGGCATAGAGAACTCAAGATGGATGTGAAGCATTTGAATTGAATTCAAGAGAAGGCAGTGAATGAGCTGCTCAGACTTTTAAAATGAGCTTCATTTACCAGTGGTCATTACAGAAGATTATCGTAATAGATATCTCTGTCACACAGTATTGTAAGTAGTCATCTGAAGCACATGGAAGTTCATTTCAAATGTTTGCTTGTGATCTGCTCTTGTTTTTAGCAAAGCTACGACACTTGAGAGAACCTATGGACCAGCATGGATAGCGTATGGACATTCATTTGCAGTTGAGAGTGAGCATGACCAAGCAATGGCTGCGTATTTCACAGCTGCACAGCTCATGAAAGGGTATGTCAAAAAAAATCATTCAGAAAAACTGAAGTTAATCTATAAATAGTATAGAAAAATTAACTGTATCGCTTTTAAACAGTAGGTAATTATATGCAACATCTCTCTGGTAGAGAATAAAAAGGAGGGCAGGGATAAAATAACTTTGTCTGTATTTGACTGCATTGTTTGTACTTGATTATTGTTGTAGTTCTGGAAGTTCTAAAGTCCAAGTTTTTATTCAGGTAATCTCTATTCTAACAGAGTTCTCTAAAATGTGTGAATTGTGTGTTTGTCCTACCAGATCATAAAGTGCTGTATAATAGTATCTTGAACAGCTGTTTCATACCGTGGAGAAGGCTGTAAAATGAGTAATGGACTAACAAAGTCATATTGCATATAAAACTATTGTATTTTGATGTAGTTATTTGTAAATGCAATCCCATTATTATTGCTTCTTCCATTCCTAAATGAAATCTAGGGAGGAAACTGGGGGAAATAAACTCAGAACTAAAGCACTGAGAAATACGTGCATGTAATTCCAGATTGTTACAATTCATGTTGGAGTTCAAACTTTTTTCAATAGCTTGCAGGTAGAAAGTCCCTTTAACCACCCTTTAAGTTAGTAGTCCATTTAAAATCAGCTTTTAGCTTACATGCACATATGAGAACACAGTTGGTGTTTCTTTTTAGTTTGTGGCACTGTTCCTGATGAAGTGCATGGATTTTCTTCCTAGGTGTCACTTGCCAATGCTCTACATTGGACTGGAATATGGCTTGACCAACAACTCTAAGTTGGCTGAAAGGTTTTTCAGCCAAGCTCTAAGCATTGCACCTGAAGATCCCTTTGTTATGCATGAAGTCGGAGTGGTCGCATTTCAAAACGGAGAGTAAGCTTGCAAAAATAGTCCTAATTATGGATTATTCTGAAATGCAATGTGCCAATACATTTACTAATGTATTCCAAAAAAAAATAATGGATATAAGAACTGTTTAATGAACATTCTTGTTTTGCTTCTGATTTTTTTAGCTTTGTCTTGTCAGCTGTTAAGATCACACAGCGAAGTAAGCAAAATACAGCTGAACGTAATTACTATTTTTTTTCTTACAGATAATTTCACTCATGCAACAAGTAATGTCAAAGAACTGTTGATTGTAATACAATTTTCTTCATTCTGCTGATGAGAACTCTTTGCTGATTTACTTTTCTTTCCTCCCCACCCCCGATATTTAGCTGGAAAACTGCAGAAAAATGGTTTCTTGATGCACTGGAAAAAATCAAAGCTATTGGAAATGAGGTATGTTTCCTAATAATACACATGGCCATAAAACTATTCATAAAACTCCAGGAAGTTCTGTATTTTGTGGCAGAATGTTACGCTTGTTATAAGATAGCTGCAATAAGTTCAGTGCCAGGTCCTGCATCTGGGCTGGGCCAATCCCAAGCACAAACACAGGCTGGGTGGATAACAGGTTGAGAGCAGCCCTGAGGAGAAGGACCTGGGGGTGCTGGTTGAAGAGAAGCTTGTCATGAGCCAGCAATGTGTGCTTGCAGCCTAGAAAGTCAACTGCATCCTGGGCTGCATCCAAAGAAGTGTGGCCAGTAGGGTGAGGGAGGGACACTTGGTCAGGGAGTGCAGTGATAGGACAAGAGGGAATGACTTTAAACTAAAATCTAGATTAAGATGTGATAATGGGAAGAAATTCTTTACTCAGAGGGTGGTGAGGCCCTGGCACAGGCTGCCCAGAGAAGTTGTGGGTGCCCCATCCCTGGAGGTGCTCAAGGCCAGGCTGGATGGGGCTGTGGGCAACCTGCTCTGGTGGGAGGTGTCCCTGCCCGTGGCAGGGGGTTGGAGCTGGGTGGGCTTTAAGGTCCCTTCCAACCCAAACCTTTCTGTGATTCTACTTGAATTGTTGCATTATTTTGCAGGTAACAGTTGATAAGTGGGAGCCTTTATTGAACAACTTAGGACATGTCTGTAGAAAACTCAAGTAAGTGACGGTACAGGAGCTACCTTTTATCTGGAGTACTACACAAATGTATTTTTGATAGGCTTCCTTCTTATTTCCATCAAGATTATGTGCCATGTGAAAGCAACGTAGAAGCATCTTTTACCTGATGATTCTTGTTTGATAGAAATTTGATCATAGGCTTTCAGATTCTCAGATGGGTCTCAATTCAAGCTGGCTGCTGTCCCAGTCCTGACATACTTGACTATGTGCAGTGATTTAGCTGGCTTAAAGGTGATTTTGTGCTGATTGATTGCTTGGATCAGTGCTTGGGCTTTTTTTTTTTTATTTAAGTGCAGTGTTCAGTGACCTTAACACAACAATAAAATGTTACTGTGTTTTTTAAGAACAGAACTAGTTGATACTTCATTTCATATTTCTATTCTAGGATGAGACAAAGGAAGTGCAAAGAATGTATGAAAGCATTAACAGTTTTAACATGGAGAAATGTTCTCTCCTTAATTACTTTAATCTGATTTTAACCCGTGTTGTCTTTTGTATTAATCAGTACTGTATGGTTTTCTGTCATGGTTTTAATTGTCCGATTGGTATATTCTGTAACTTTTGTTTCTGAGTTGCTAATGAAAGTGATTCTGGTACATATAAGTCATGCTTCTGCTTTGACTTTGGTAGGAATTGCTCTGTGCTTGAATTGCTTGAATTCTTCATTTTCATTGGGAAATACCAGTGTATAATAGTTACCCGTTCTTCCAAAACCAAACAAAAAACACTGGTTTTGTGATTTATTTATGACTATCATTGCAGGGTGTATTTTTTTATTTTTTCCAAATGCATACTTCAGTTATAATTTCTTTAATCTTTTTTAATTCCTTGCAGTAATTTAGTAACTGCTTACATCACACTTAGGACAACTTGCATTTTGTTATTCAGGTTCAGAAAGCCAACTTAATATATTTCTTCATCCTTATAAGCTATCTTTCATGAAAATCAAGATGATTTTAGTCAGCTCTGCGTATTCTTTAACAAGAAAAAGTGTCCATAACTGATTTTAGTAGTGTTCATAATGCACATTGTTGCTTTTATGAAAAACTTACTGGATGTGTGACTGCTCACTAGTACTACGTAGTTGAAATTTGAAAGCAGCATGTTAAAGTACACTGGTAGTTAATTGGACAGCTAAATAGTATGAGTGAAAATAGAATTCAGACTGTGAAAGTTTTGTGCAGCAGGCAAACAGATGCAAATTTTTATGCCTGGTTACCTAACGCCCTCTGTTAACACCAACAAATGAAGTTGTTATAATTTCATTACAATTAGAGACATTAAAATTTCTTCTGAATAGACAATCGCTATCCTTATTTTTAATAGCTTGTACTAGGTTGTTGAAAGTGGCAATTTAATTTCCCAGAGTAGCGTCATACGGTACATTTAATCCTTGGTTTGTAAAATAACGGGTGCAATAAGCAGCCTAGCTAAGAGAATTTTCAAAGAAAGTGTGGCTGGTATTGGAAAGAAATTATGGATATGTGTAATTTTTTTTTTCTTCTCTGATAGAGGCAGCAGCAAAATGGAAGTGTTGGAAGTACCAGTGTATGCAGCACTTAAGGGTTGTGTAGTTTCTGCCTGGGGAGCTTTTCTCATTTTGAACAATGAGTGATTTAGTCTTATATTGCTCCTTTGCTCCCCTGGGGAGAAAAATGAGAGCTGTAGAAAGAAACCTAATATTTCAAGGAGCAACATTCAACATCTAAAGCAATTTACCGTATCAAATTGCTAAGATCCTCTCCAAATGGGGCCTAGCTGCAGACAGCTGTTGTGCTACATAACGGGAACAATGATTTCTCAATTATGTTGAGGAAGAAAATTATCAATATCCGTGACTCCCATGCATTCTTTTATGTTGAGTATGAAGCAATAATTTTAAGGTTCTTGACAGGATTGCCTGCCACTGAGTTAAGGAAATTATCAATATAGCGCAATAAAAACCTCTTTCACCCTGAAATAATAGATATTCTGGTTTTAACCCTAACAGGAAATACGAAGAAGCACTGGAATACCATCGCCAGGCTCTAGTACTAATTCCTCAAAACGCTTCTACTTATTCTGCCATTGGCTACATACATAGTCTGATGGGCAATTTTGAAAGTGCAATCGACTACTTTCATACGGTATGTGACAGCCTTATGACTCTGGTAACAGATTCTGTATTTACCAGTTCATTCTGTGCCTCTTTTGAAACAGAGAACCAACAATTATTCAACCCTTAAACTAGTTTTTATTTTATAATCTTAATTAAAAAAAAAAAAGTCCTCCTGAGTTTTCTACTGAGTAGGTTTAAAAAGAAAGCTACTTTTTGGAATGTTGTAGTTGGATCCTTCTTTCTTGTAAACAATTAATTGAGTTGTATGTACATAAACTTTTCATTCTCACAAAATGATTGGAAATACTTCCAACATATGCCTCAGAGTAGAAATTTTTCACTAAGTGCAGCTTTTAAAAATATGCCACTTTCTGTTGCTTTGGAATTATTTTTATTATGTGGTAATTGTGTATCACTATTTCCAGGGCAGTTTGGGTGATTTCACATTTTCATGGAGTAACAGTGAATTTCCTTGAGTGCTAAGTTTTCAGCATTCAAGTTGATTGGCTTGAGAATTCAGCCGTAGTTCTGTTTACCTAGAAGCTTATATTACATAAATTTAGTTGTAATAACTTAAGCATGTCTCAGTCTTTCATTATCAATTGTAGTTTAGCTATACGTATATAATTTCCTCAGGTTTTAGAATTATTTTAGTATATTTTACTTCATGATTTATGAATTATTCTGTCTGGACACACGCCCATTTCTGGTTTTATTTTTGTTTTGCTTTCTTCAGCCATTTCATACAGAAATATTTTGTTTGCACAATGCTTTGCATTTATAGCAAAGACTACATTGATTGCATTGTCGAACAACAAAGCAACAAATAGAGTAGCGTACTTAAGATGTAAATGGTTTTATTTACAGCTGAATAATTTTTATTTGTTTTTTTTTTTTTTAATAGGCACTTGGTCTTAGAAGGGATGACACATTTTCAGTCACGATGCTTGGCCATTGCATAGAAATGTATATTGGTGATTCCGAAGCTTACATTGGTAAGTCTGTCACTTATGCTGACTGCTAAAGTCACTGAATCCTTTGAGAGAGGTCTTTGCTCTTACATCAAGAAAAGACTGTCTACCATTAAGGCTGTGGTGTAGTCTGTTTACCTAAGTTAACTGAAAGTAGAATATGTATATTTTAAAAAATGACAGAAAACTTAAGTCAAAACTGATCGGCATTTGCAGATAACTCTTGTTTTTTGTAAGCATCATGGAAGTAGATAATTCTTACTGCTGCAGAGAAAGTTAAGTACTTTGCTATTGGAGGCACCAATGATGGTTTCTTTTATAGAAAGTATTGATTGCTTAGAAACCAGTGAAGGGGGGTGGGGATAAAATAGAAATTAAGATTAAAAACTCAGAGGTCTTGATTTCAGCTTATAGTACTGCAGAGTGATATGAGCGAGGTATTTTCACAATATAGACACTGTGGTCTGTGAAGACAGGAGGAATCCTGCTGCCTCCCAAAATAGAGCTTTACACGTGGTTTAAAAACATCTTTATAACAGTAATACATTGTATTGCTGTGGTCTGAGATATTCTGTGAAAGTTTTCTGCCCCCTCAAAAAACTTTATAGCAACATATTTCTGCTTCATTAAGCTTAATTTATCACTAATGAAGAAAGTTGATGTCCAATCTGCATGATAATAAGCTGAAGCCATTTAGTCAGCTGTGTTCTTTGGTTCTCCAGCACATTTTTCACACAGCTGAAGCAGCTGTTTCTTCTCAATAATGCTTTGCTCCACATAGTCAGTTAACGCATACAGAACGGCCACGCAGCTGTGTGCTATACATTGATGCAAACCATGATGCGTGTAACTTTAAACAACAAAAAAAAACCCTCACATGGAAGGGAATTGGCAATTACTTCTAATAAGACTTCAAATATTAATCTTATTTAGCATGTTGTGCTATTTTTTCTTTTAAACAAGGAGTCATCTGGATTGTGTCAGACCAACTCTATTACAGACTTCAGTCATTTAGCAGCAACAACAGTTTGCTGTTCTGAATACAAAGAACTCTAATAGTTTTAGTAGTTGATAGCTTTTTAAGATGGATGTTTGGGAGCATTCATGTGGAATAAACTAATGGTTTGACTGTTTTCCTAGGAACAGAAATCAAAGACAAATTAAGATGTTACGACTTTGATGTACACACAATGAAGACGTTAAAGAATATAATTTCACCTCCCTGGGATTTCAGAGAATTCGACATAGAGAGACAGACTCTGGATGAGAGCGGTATAGTAACGTTAGAAACATCACATCAAAGGAAAAGTACAGATACCAGTCGTCCATTGGAAGAAACGTTTGAGATTGAAATGAATGAAAGCGATATGATGCTAGAAACATCCATGTCAGACCATAGTACGTGACTGTAAATTCTGGTACAGGGCTCATTTTGTCAGTGTTTGTTTTAGCATTTTTGTTATGGTGTTATACTTTCAGGAATTTGCTATTTTTATATGAATTCAAACTACTACACTGTACCTAACACCGGAGAAATAATGCTTGCCTTAAGGATGATTAAAATATACATGATGGACTATTTCCGATTTTATTATTTCTACAAAATTAATCATACGTGATGAAGTAAAAAAAAAAATAAATTCACATTATGTTTTTAAAACTGTTTACTCATCCTTGTGTCTGCCATCGGTAGGACTGAAGGTTTAAAAATAATACTTAAAGATTGAACTGTTTACAATGTGCTGAATGGAGTAGCCAGAGTCTAATGTAGTAATTGTGGCTTCTGAATTTTCATCCTGTCGGTGAGGAATGCTTTCGTAGTAAATAGACCAAAAAATACATGAGGTTTCACACATTTATGAAGTAATAAGTATATCCCTTTACAAAGTGCTTTCAGTGGTTTTCCATCACTTGACTCTAATTGGGCATATGTTAAATTGATGACAAAGCATGTGACTTTGTTATACTTTCTCCTGTTGTTGACTTCGGCTTTTTATCATTCTTCTGTATTGTGCTACTGAAAGGTCATTTAAGAACTGTTTCTGGTAAGGTGACTAGACAACAACCATGAATGGCAAAAATGTTAAGATGAATCAGTGTTTCCTGCAATTACTGACATCTGTGATGTTTTTCGGTAGTGTAACAATCAAGATGTAAGCCACAGTGTACTAATTCTTGAAGGGACTGTAGTCATTCTGTTTACACACAGCTGTTCTGTCAAGGCAGAGGATTAATGGAATAATACTAATACACGTATACGGTTTTTACAAGTCTCTAAATTGGTATTTTTAAATGTCGTCAGTTCACTGAAAAATAATGAAGTAAAGCATATGTCTCTGAAACAGAAGCAGGGACTTGTCCAGCCACTAAACAGAACAGTTTGCCTTCTTAGCATGAACGCTGAACGTATTTTGTGTAAATTTTTCCCTTCCCTTCTTGCCTGTTCCACATATGTCACTGTGAGGGGCTTAAAATTAAAAACTTAATGCTACAAGCTGTCATAATGTTTTCTTCTGTGACTTACAGCTAAGTTCTGACATTAAATGAATGAAGAGATTTTTCTGAGATTTAGCGGTCCAGACTTCAGTTGGAAGTACTTCAGAGCTCAAGAACTAACAATTTTCTGTAGATGAATTTTTTTTTTTGATGAAATAAAAAAATGGCTAACTTATATTTTAGCAAAATAGAATGGTCAGTCTAAAATGTTATTTCTGCACTGTATTTCAGTATGCTTGTGTTAATATTTACACAATTATTTTCAATTATACCTTTAGCACAAAATGTGTATGCTTGGTTATCTTGATACAACTTTCATCCACTTTATTGGGGGCAAGATGTTAATATATATATATATGTATATATATATGCTTGTGTAATTTGGGAAATATTTCCTATACATTTTTTTATGCTTTACATAAATATGAGGAGACAAGGGATGAATCAAAGCAACTATATTGAAATTTACCCTTTTTTTTTTTTTTTTTTTTTTTAGCAGTCTGTCTTCATTAATTGTCCTATTAACTAAGACTGATAATGTTTACTTCTATTTGTGCTGAAGAATGGATATCAAAGACTGGGCTGTTACTGCAATAACAGCAAGTGTTTTGGGTTGTTTTATTGTCGGTGTGTGTATGAAAAGCTTTGCATAAACTGAGCTAGAAACCAATACTCATCCCATTACATCTGCCTCAGAGCTCACTGAGTTTTCAGTGGCCAGGTTCCAAACCAAAGGACTAGAGTTGTTGGAGACCATCACTTGGAGAAATTACCAGCCGGGAAGGCTGTTGCTCCTTCATCTGAGATACCTGGCTAGCGAACTGAAATAATTTTCCTATTTTCCCCCTTTTCCCCCCATGCTTTGCTGATTTGCTTGCTGTGCTGCTCAGAAGGATGTGACTGATTGTCTCCATTCTTCAGTTCTGTTCCTGGCAGCTCTCTCACAAATCTTCAGCTGGAACAGGGAGACTTCACCATACAGGCTGCATATGTAGATTAAGCCCAGGGCATTGGCTTTTTTTTCCCTCATTATCTAGGCCTTACTGAAGCTGAATGCAAATTCTACACAGAGGTGCATTTCAAAATCCAAGGGCATTGAGTGGAGAATGGATAGGGGAAGAGCAATCTGTTGAAAGGCCCAGGATCTTCCCTTGCTTTCCTGTTGTGATGATCCAAAATGGTTAGGTCTGTGGGTATACAGACTGAGACAACACATTCATAGGATTCCGTGATTCACCACTAGCAACTGTTTTTGTGATTAATAAGGCAGATATATATGTGGGTAAAAGCTATTGGATCTTACTCAGAAATAAGTGTGTGTATATAACAGGTATTAGGGGTATAGTGCCAATTAATAACAGAAGAAGCTGAAGGTAGTAGAAAGGTGATCTGAGGTGGGAGAAGTCAGTAATCTTGCAGCAGATATGTTTTGAAAATAATCGTAGATTCAGCAGACTTAATACCATGGCAGAGAGAATGCAGATTACAAACTTACCAATATAATAAAAGCAAATAGATTTATGACAGATTATACTTTTATACATAATCTGTCATAAGTATAGTATTGATATATATGCATAAAATTAAATGGTATTAAATGCATCAAACAGATCCCAGAAAGGGGAGGGCAGTGCTGTCTAAAAACAATCTCCACACAGACAGACCTCAAAGGGTCAAAAATGATCTCAGCCGACACCAGCCACCCCCAGGAACAGGGCGACAAGGGGAATGCAGTAAGGAGCGGTCTGTGTGGAGCATCACAGGGCTGAGGAGGCGATGTCTGCTGAGGTAACCAATGGGTTACAGATCTTTTTTCTGTCTGACCATTTCTCAGGCTCAAAGAAGCAAACCACTGTGTTGGTGTCATCACTGGGGCAGAGTGGTAGGAGCGGGAAGAAGATGGGATGCAGAAAACGTGTTGCTATAAGGGCAACATATCATGATTTCGTGCCTCTACAGATATCTGCTGGAGTTTGTTTTGTTTTGTGTTTTGGCTGGCTGGTGCTAGCCGTCATTTATTGGCATCAAATCTTACCTAGAAGGAAGCATATGCAAATTGTCCCAGACTGTGAATGACTTTTCCTGGACAATAACAGAGAAATTCTTGATAAGGCTTGGCTGGGCTCCCAGCCCTTTAGGCAGATACAATTAGGTTAGAGCTTGCAAGCTGATGACGTGTGTCTCTTGGACAGGACTTCAGGAAAAGTTTCATTCTTCATCTCTGTTCTGTTGCTCAGTGTTTTGATCTGCTCTTGTTCTGTCCAAATCCTCATCTTTGTACCTGCACCCCCCAGTACCTGTCCTGCTCTTGCCTGGGCTCTGCTCCCTAACAGTGTTTGGTGCCTTTCCGGGTTATTCTGGCATTCTGATTTTCAGTTTGGCTCCAGTTAAACTGAGCATTGTTCTTGTCCTCATGAGGTCTTTGGTTAATAATTTTGGCCTGGCTTGACCTCAGATTCTTGACTCTTGCTTCTGGTCATTGCCTCAGTTGGCTTTGGCCATGCATACATGTACAAGGGACCAGGTCTTGATCAGGCTGAGTATCTTATTCACATGTCTCCAAAAGGCATATTCACAGATGTCCTAAACGTAGCCTGCTCTCTTGCTTGCAAGGATCAGCCTCTTCCAGGGAGAGAACTGTGCGAGCTTCTGACCAGTTGGTTAGTCTGGAGGAGAGGAGGCTCAGGGGAGACCTCCTTGCTCTCTGCAGGTACCTGAGAGGAAGGTGTGGGGAGCTGGGGTCAGCCTCTTCTCACAGGTAACCAGTGACAGGACCAGAGGGAATGGCCTCAGGTTGCACCAGGGGAGGTTCAGGTTGGCAGTGAGGAGCCATTTCTGCTCAGAAGGAGCAGTCAGGCACTGGGACGGGTTGCCCAGGGAGGTGGTGGAGTCACCTGTCCCTGGGGGTGCTCAGGGAAAGGCTGGACATGGTGCTTGGGGACATGGTTAGTGGGTTACAGTGGTGGCAGGGGGTGGTTGGACCAGGTGATCTTGGAGCTCTCTTCCAACCCTACAGGCTCTGTGACCCCATGGGCTCAGGGGTTCCTAAAGCCTGAAGAGGATGGGGCTGGTGCTGAGGGGCGATGGGCGCTGCCCCCCCCCCCCCCCATCCCCGCCACCGCGGGCGGGAGCGCCCCGCTCTCCCCTCAGCGACCTCTCGCGAGATTCCCCCCTGCCGACGGCCAGTTCTCGCGAGGCTTCCTTCCCGCGCGGGGCGGGGGCTGTGTGGCGCAGCGCCATGGCGGCGCCGCCGCGACGGGACCCGGAGCCGGCCCCGCTGCCGCCCTCCCCGCTGCCGCCGCCGCCTCCCCCGGCGCCCGGTAAACAGCGAGAGGAGAAAAAAACGGCGCTGAGCAAAGTGAGGGGCGCGGCCGCGCGGCGGGGGGCGGCTCGGCTCCAAGCGGGCCCGGGCGGGGACGGGGCGCCCCGCGGGGACGGCCTGAGGCGGCCTCGGGGCCCCTGAGGCGAGCGGGGGAGGGGAGGGGAGGGGAGGGGGGATAAATCCTGTGGGGGTGTGGGGCCAGCCCCCAGCAGCAAACTGCTCCTGCGGGGGCTCTCCATGGGCCGCAGCCTCCTCCAGGCCACATCCACCTGCTCCACCGGGGGCTCCTCCACCCATGGGGGGGCTGCAGTGTGGAGATCTGCTCCGTGTGGGACCCATGGGCTGCAGGGGGACAGCCTGCTCCACCAGGGGCCTCTCCACAGGCCGCAGGGGAACTGCTGCTGCCTGCCTGGAGCACCTCCTGCCCTCCTGCTGCACTGACCCTGGGGGCTGCAGGGCTGCTTCTCACTCCTCTCTCCCAGCTGCTCTTGTGCATCTTTTTTTTTTTCCTTTCCCTAAATCCTTGCTCCCAGAGACCCAACCAGTGTTGCTCCCTGCCTCGGCTCTGGCCAGCAGCAGGTCCCTTTTAGAGCCATCTGGAGCTGGCTCTGCTCTGACATGGGGCAGCTGCTGGGCTCTGCTCACAGAGGCCACCCCTGCAGCCTCCTGCCACCAAAACCTTTACATCTAGATACAATGCATTAAGATGATGTTATAATAAGGGACTTAAAAGTTAGTTTAAACCATTTAAAAAAGAAATATTTTTAACATTTTATATAGTCAGCATCTATTTTTGATGATTTTTTAATACCTTCTTGGCCCGATTGCAGTGGTTCTGGAGCTTTTCATTAGAGTATTTCAGTTACCTGACAGTTCTGCAATGTTAGCAGAATCTGAGATAGGACAGACAATCTTGCCATCTGTCAGCGAGTCCAAGTAGGTAACTCACTGTGAGGCTAACACTCCAACTCAAACTCCCAATTGAAGGAAGAGCTTTCAAAAGAGGAGTAATATGATTTGTTTAATCTTTTTCCATGGTATTTAGATCAAGGATAAATCTCCATTTTCTGTTACATATGCAGGTGGTCATTCGACGCCTTCCTCCTTGTCTAACTAAGGAGCAACTGGAGGAACAGTTACACCCTCTGCCTGCCCATGATTATTTTGAGTTTTGCACTGCTGATCCCAGGTGAGGATGAGCTGTTCATACAGGTTTTCAGGTGTTTAAAACCCAATTAAGGTATTTTGGACATGGAGCCCTTTTCATTAGTTCTGTCAGTTACTTAAAATGTTTCTGAAAAGTGGGATAAAAGTGCAGAGGAAATGCATTCCTGCCCCTTTCTTTTAAACTGGTGATTTTAAAACAGGACATTTTTATGTGCAAATATGGCATAGCTTTGTTGGAAACCCTAATGTTTCTTTAAACCTTCATTGCTAAAATGCAGCAGGCTGTTTATCAGCTGCGAGAAAGACAACCTAGGGCAAAATATCACAGAAAGTTTTTCATGTGTGCCATTTAAGCTTAATTTAATCGTTTGTTTACGTATCTTTGTATTTATTTTACACGTGTTTTTTTCAAGTAATCCACTTCTATTCATTTTTGTGTCCATTCAAAATTAAGTTATATAGAGAATAATAAGTTAGAATTGCTGGTATATTTATTTAATGTGCTCAGTATCACAGTGGCCAAATACCATCCCCTTTTGAACAAAGCGACTTCTAGAAGAGAAGAAACTTAACCGTTAAAATAAGCCAAACACCCTATATGCTGCATCTGCACGTGTTCAGGAAAACTAACGGGTATGATTCATTTTGCCCAGCTTGGCCTATCTTAGTGTGCAGTGATTCATCCTCCACAGGCATCAGATTATTTTCAGTGACTACAGACAGATCCTGGATCTTGATTGTAGATCAGCTTGTAAATTTAGGGCTGGGTGACCCCCTGGAGCAGGTAGCTTTTCTTTAGGGAGCTGTCTGTAGCCAATTGCACTTGAATCAATCTAGTTCTGGGCTGATTTTAATTGAAAGGATGCTGCCACTGTGTTTTAGATGGGTAAATCTGATTATATCGGTTCACTCTGAGTCAATTCCACAAGCAGAAAGGAAGAAATGTCTCTGTTAGCAAAGCCTCCTGGCAGTTCAGTGCATCAAAATAGCAGGTGCTTCAGCTACAATGGTAGAAGAACCACGTTGGGTGTGAAGATAGAACAGTATTTAGTCTGATTGAAAGTCTTTATATCCACCTGCACTTTTCTTCTGAACCCAGCCATCCATATTTCCGAGTGGTTTTCCTGAAGGCTTCAGTCCAACTGTTTATTTGATAAGGGGAAAATAGCAGAGGCAAACCAAAAATTCTCCAAAAGAGTGTCTTTGTCCTCAGTGTGTCTAGCTACACAAATGCTAGGAACCAGTTCAAAAATTACAATTTTAATTTTCCAGAACAGCCATTGACATAAGAATCTGGGGAGTCAGCAGCTGCAGGAAAGATAAGCAGCTGGCAACAGTAGTAAATACAAAGTTTCATTTTTCTCTCCATGTGGTAAAATTTGGAGCACTCAGAAGTCTTGCTGTCCACTCATCAGCTGCATCCATGTCGGGTTCCTCATGAAAGATTTTGCAGCTTCTTTCTCATGCTATGCTAAAAATAAAGTCTTATTTTTTATATGTTTATATATTGCTTTGCTACTAGAATTTAGGATTTAGCAAGCAACAAATGCAAATTTTTAACCTTTTTTTTTTGGAACAGTGATATCTCTTGATGGGTGTTACTTGGATTGTCAGATGCCTTGAATCATTTATATGAACCTTGTAATAAAATTGTGGTCTAGGAAACAAATGTTCTCTTCCTCCTGCGTTTTGGATTCATATTCTCTTCTGGCCTTAGAAATTTGGATTCTCTTGGAGGAAAAAAAGTGTTCTCATTATGAATTTGGATTTTTCTTAGGGAAGCATTTCATATTCACTTTTTCTTGCTTTGTCTTGTTGCTTAAAAATTCTGTTTTCATACAGAAGATGTATTTTTTTCAGAATAGGTTTATCTTTATAAGGTGTACGGCTACAGCCCTTTTCAGCAAACTGCACTGTTTAAGTGTCTTTTAGCTGCAGTTCTGCAAAAGAATGACTGATTATTTGCTCTTTTACTGGCCCAGCATAATCTTACCCCTTTTGTCCACTTTATTTCAGTGCTGACATGTACCCATGTACATCTGTTCATAATTAAAATCATGATGTGTTCACACACTCCAGAAAACACGGTAAACCTCCAGAAATTGTTAAGGTTGGAAGTGAGGAGCCACTTCTGCTCAGAGAGAGCAATCAGGCACTGGGACGGGTTGCCCAGGGAGGTGGTGGAGTCACCGTCCCTGGGGGTGTGCAAGGAAAGGTTGAACCTGGTGCTTGGGGACATGGGTTAGTGGATGACGGTGGTAAGGCATAGCAGGTAGTAGAAGGGTAGTAGGTAGCTTGCAGTTTCCCCTTTTTAAGAAACTTCCTCTAGACATCCTCTACCAGTTGCTCTCAGAGAGAGAACTCGAGGGGTCAAACTGTAGCTGCTTCAACCTTTTTATTTCCAAGGTCATCTCTCCCCAGAGGACAAAACAAACATTTGCAGTCCTGCCTATATGCCTTTGCAAGATACGCATGCATATGTCAACCCCAGTTTTACTTTCTTGCACTCTAAAGGTTATTTGTAAGTTTACAATGTCTTGTTTTTATGCGCAAACTGTAAAACTTTCATTTTATTAAAATGTCATTGATGTGTAACAATTGCATCCATTTCAGTAAAATCATTTCACAAAGTATGACTACCGTGTTGTATTTCATTCATTTTCCCCGATTCATTCGATTCACTGCATTACATTTATTTTTCTCTCTTGTACACTGGGATCAAAGTACAAGCAAAATGCTGTTTTTGTGACTGACTCCGTGGCCTTGAGGGACGTTTGGTAGCCATGTTACCATGAGCTAGTAGTGCTCATATCAAAAAAGGAAAGGCTCAGTTCATCTCGAGGCATGCCACTGCCATCCCCTGTATGAATGACAACAGCAGGTGAGAGACCAGAGGATGAACACCAGTGGATTTTAGCTTGAGGTGACAATATAGACAACAGAGTTATCAATTTGATCAGAAATCACTCCCAAATTTAAGTGTTGAGATTTAAGTGTACATGCATGTCAGTCTGTAAGTTCATACAGACCTATATACACATACACCACGACTCGCCACCTCGGTAAGTATTTCTACTAAGATGCAGTGGCTGTTTTTAGAGTTTACGTGCTACTGTTTATCTTTTAGAGAACTACTTAAATTTCCTTTGCTCTATACCAATCTTTTTACACGATTGTGATAAAGATACTTTACAGAAAAAGTTAACTACTGGAATGCTTCTGTTACTAAACTTGCCATAAAAGTAAGGGTTTAAAGGGATGTTTAATTTCGTATTAGACATATGCAGATTGCCTAGAAGATTGAGTATCCTTCAAAACACAACAGAAAACAAAGAAACTGTTCTGAACTGAAGAAATGTGTACAGTTAGACTCATCTGGGTTATTTCTACAGAGATCCCTCTAATTGATATCCCAGAGATGCCAACATCGTGTACAGTGCATCTGTCCAAAACATGATATGGATGGAGAATAGCATTATAGGCAGCAAGCATCTGGCAAAATAGAGCCAGCTGGCTGCTTCCAAACCTAGTCACGCAACCTCAGCACCGAATTTCAAATCCCAAGAGAAATCTCTGCCGGTGGATACTTGAAAAAATGCAGGCGGCACACAGGATGGCCCTGTTGTAGTGCACTGCCTGGGGACCCAGCTGGAAGGCAAAGTCCCGAAGAGCAGAAGCTGTTTTCTCTGCTGAATATGAAGTGCAACAGCGGAACAGGAGTGTTTCTGCCTAGGAGAGGTTGGTGGCACCAGAGTCCTGGCCATGCAAAACGTGTTCCTGCTCCACGGCAGCACTGGTGGGTTGGTAGAGGAGAGGTGATGAGGGGCAGTTGCACTTGGAAGTTTGGTTTCTGAAACCCAGAGGAAGAGACATTATTTCATACACAGAGCAGTGTTGAGCACCTCCAGTTTGCTCATTTTAGTTAGCTTCTCATTTAGAGAGTGGATTTTATGCATTTTTTTAGGTAGACCGCACACTTAGTTGGATAAGAAGTCTGAAACACTTTGAGATCGGGCTCTTAGGATACACGAAGCATTCTGACATCCAACGTGTGTGTGCGTACGAGATCTGACTTTGTGTAGGAGTGGCTGCATCAGAGAAACTCTGTAACTGCTAAGCGTCCTCACAGCCGTACTTCTACAACCTTCTGCCCTGATATCCAGCACCAGTAGCAGAGAGACAGCCCTATTTTACTGTGCTGCTAAGCACATCAGTATCCTACTGCAGACAAACATGCCTCTATATTTTTGTATGTTTCTGCAGAGGTGATGAAGTCCTTGAAGACCTAATAATGTATAGCAACAATGTTGGATCCCTTATTTGCAAGATAAATTCTAAACCTCTGCTTTCAAGAGTCCTGTTTACATGTTACAAGCTTTTTTTCTCTTACTAGTAATTGCTTAATAACCACATCAAATATTTCTCTGAAAGATACTCTGATAAATCTAAGCAAAAAAAAAAAAAAATGTTAGGAAAATATTCTGTCGTGTACCAGGAAAAGATTGCATTGCCAGAGCAGACAGGAAACAGATGGTGTTGATGTGCAAGCTCAAGGAAACAAGGAAGGAACAAGTCTTTGTATTTTCATTTCTTTTTCGCGATGGTTGTGTGCCCAACCACAGGGTCTAAGTTATACTGCAGAAGAAAAAAAATCCATCTATATGATCAAGCTGTCATTTTTGTTGTATTTTACAAAAGCTGAAGATGGTAAAACACTGCAAGTACTTGTTAGATTAGGAAAAGAAACTCAGGGCTTCTTAATCTCACATACCTTTATGTTTTCTAAGTTTTGAAAAATTCTTTTTTTCTAAGAATTTTGGTGGTTACCTCCCTCCTTGGAGGTCTTCAGAAGCCATCTGGACGTGGTCCTGGGCAACCTGCTGCAGGCTGAGCAGGGGTTACACCAGAGGACCTCCAGAGGTCCCTTCCCCATTCTGTGGGTCTGTGATGCCTGCTTACGCTTCACTCAATGCTATTCCCTTCCTAAAACACCAAAACAGTGAGTAAAAATAGATGAAATAGCTATTCCTTAGAATTATAAGGCGCAGCCTCTGCATGCTGTAGAGGCACCCTGTAAACAGGTGTTTGTGAAACATCTGAGCAAGAAAAGCCCTCTAGCTCTTTGTTAAATATTTCTCCTGGCTACGATGTCAAACACAACTTTGTTCTACAAAAAGGCCAGCTACTGACAGCAGTGCTCATCGTGGTCACCTTCCAACACCCCAAATGGATGCGTGTTTGAAAACGAAAAAATCATCACTTGGTTTGTAGTGACCGTGGTTCTTCAGGATGCCACGTGTGTGGATCGTGTGATCCAACCCCTGTCTTTGCTCTTTCTCACTGGCTGCGAAATCTGATTCTGAAATAGCTATGGAATTGAAATCTGCTTGTGTTGATTGTCTCCTACTGCTGCTGGTGAGTTTGTCTGAAGATGGGACTTGCAGCAACAACGTTACGAGCATAGGTATTCTAAAATTACGGGCTTACATTCAAATACGTTCAGGTATTTTCCAAAAAAATGGTTTAATGCATAGCCATTGCTAAAGGCTGTTTAAGCCACACTTTTATACATCCTAATTAGGTGGGAGGGAGAGTTAAAGCCTGTACCTGACACTCGGCTGATGGGTGGTAATGCGTTGAATTACCCCAATCCCACTGTGGTTGGTGATGTGCCAGCTCTGAGGTTTGGATCAAGCATGCTAACATTTACACACCCAGAGTGGGACCTATGCCAACAAATTCTAGGAGGATCAGGATTGTTTTCGGTAAGTACCTGTTCTTTCTTTTGCTACAAATGTTTGGGATTTTCACAGTAACTGTGCTTCACAACAGGACATTGCACGTATATTCATACACATGTGTGTCAAATGGAGTTTGTTTATCAGTATGTGATTCAGCATGTTATCCTGCCAATTACTAAGTTATTTAATCTTTCCCAAAAGTGGGAATCTCTTTAAATACAGTGACAGCTTGGCAACTGCCACTGCACTGGAAACTTGCTTTGCCTCCTACTATTTCAGCAACAGAAAACTTAATCTTAACATGCCCAAGAATTTCCCCGAAACCACTGCTGTTATTCACCTCTCAGATCATAAACAATAATTCGTAAAGCTTTGATCCTGCAAAATGAAGATGTGTGCTCTGCAATGCAGGGAGACAAACAGAAATATATCTTAGTTCAGAATAAATTTCACAGTTGCATCCAGGAATTCAGTCACTGAGTTGCTTTTTGTAATATATATATCTCTGTATATGCATATGAATATGTAAGGACTTCAATATGCATGCTTAAATTAGGCATTTCCCAAAGAGGCTGGGAATTGCACTGTGATCTTACTGGTTTTACCTTTTGCAGTCCTGAACAGAATAATAAGTAACAGAAAATAAAATTGTTTCTTGTTGCAGCCTTTATCCTCATCTTTACTCGAGAGCATACATTAACTTTAGAAATCCCGAGGACATCCTTCTTTTTAGAGATCGCTTTGATGGCTATGTCTTCATTGATAATAAAGGTTGGCCTATTTGTAAGATATTACATGTGTCTATATACACATATATCATTTTAGAACATTAATTCATTTCATTTTTTTCTAATGAAGCCTTTTTCTGCTGCAATATACAATTAATCACATAAAAATACACTGAACCAGAACCTAGCTGCTCGAAGATAATGAAGTGGAAAATGTATTTGTCCGTGCAGTCTCACTTGTCTGCATGGTGCTCGTGCTTTATCTGCATTCGTGTACCTTAAGCAGTCCACTAGCAGGATCCTGTTAATGATCCTATGTGAGCTTTGCAGTTCATCACAACGATAGCTTCATACATTGAAGACACAAGTGGCTGCATCTTCAGTGTGTTTCTGTGAGATTAAGCCAGTGCTACGTGTTGCCATTTTGAGAAAGCAAAACCAGGCCAAGACATTGTGCTTTGTCTGTAGCTGTTCCTTGCCTCACTCCCTCACACCTTCTCTAAAAAGATTGCACGGGGAGTATAAAAGATACTTGGATTTGTGGGTTTCTCTGACCATTGTCTGTTCTGAACACTGAATGTTGCAGGAGTCCTGTGAAATAGTCTTGTCCAGTCTAACTGGAGAGTTGCTCTCCAAAGAAGCTGTCTGCCAAGATAACAAATTTCTCTGTAGCATTTCCTGTCTGAGATACTTCATATGCCCCATTCCTGGAGGTGCTCAAGGCCAGGCTGGATGGGGCTTTGGGCAGCCTGGTCTGGTGGGAGGTGTCCCTGCCCATGGCAGGGGGGTTGGAACTGGGTGGGCTTCAAGGTCCCTTCCAACCTGAGCTGTCCCAGGATTCTGTGATAGCCTTTTACCCTGGATTTGGATGGATCTCCCCAAAGATGGAGAACAGCACATTCCTCCCAGTGCATGATTCCAAGATTCTGAAGAAGAATCCAATACACAAGGCAGACCTCAAAGAATAGGTGCCAGTAAACACAAGCGAGCAGTTGTGTTGTCCACCATAAACAGCAAAAAAAAGGAGTTCCACACACTTCACAGAGCAGCAGGATTACTTAAAATTCATTTCCCAGTAGTAATCATTCGTCAGCATGAGATTTTATGTCAATTTTTCTACTCAATGACAATTTTTGAAGAATTAAAAGGGAATTATAAATGATAATGCAAGACTTTTATTGTGCAACAGCACTCTTCATCTTGACAGCCTTTGTTAGCACGTCAAAATAGTATTTTAATAATAATATTTAAGTATATAATTCAGATATAAATGTATTTTGTTTTGAATCCAAAGTACTGCTACATGCAATTTATCATTAGAAATTTAGGATGACATTTTAGTGACACCTTTGATATCAAATAAGGCTGCCCAACACAAGTTTGAAGAGTTTGGAAAATCTTACTTGAATATGAAGAATGCTTCCCAGAATAAAAATTAAGAATTGATCTCTTTTAAGGTTTGGAGTATCCTGCAGTGGTTGAATTTGCTCCATTCCAGAAGATTTCAAAAAAGAAGTTAAAAAAGAAAGATGCCAAAGCCGGGAGCATTGAAGATGGTAAGCATATTTTCTTGATTTCACTGTGAAAAATGGGTTCCATTTCTGCTGTGAATTGCAGAGTATTAACATAATTCAAAAATTTATCTTCGCAGATCCAGAATATAGGAAATTTTTAGAGAGTTACTGTGCTGATGAAGAGAAAATCTGTGCCAATCCCGAGACTCTTTTGGGAGAGATTGAGGCCAAAACAAGGGAACTCATTGGTCTGTTTTCTTGACTTTTCTTATTATTGAGAATATGAAATATATTATTTTTATATCTTTACCATATTACCTGCAAGATATGGCCCGTTCAGTCTGACACAGACTGAGGTTATCACAGTTAAAGTTTTTATCCCCCAGCCAAGTAGTGACAGGAAGCACCTCACCTGTGCTTTGAGTCTCTGTGCATGCAATCACTCAACTTAAAGAAGTTTTGCGTGCACAGTGGCTTCAAAGTTAGCTCCTTAGTATTTCTAAATGCTTACAGGTGTGTTATAAAAAGATGGAAGATACAGTTTTAAAAGATAAGGTAGCTGAATACTTAAGAACTGATCCCTGCTACTAGCTGCTTTTATTAACGTGAAATGATCTCTGTTAGGATTCTGCAAAAGCTTTGAAAGTAAGGCAACACCTTGTTCTCTGTAGGCATGTGGTGTGACTTTCACAGTCTTAGGGGGAATTTTTAGTGAGATAACATTAAAATCTTCCAGGGTAAATCACATCAAATTTCAATTGCAGGCTTCAGTAATGTGAATATTGCTGGTTACATTTATACAAATCATGAGTATCAACAAAAAGCCAGTTGTCTATGTGCTGTGATCCATACTGTACTATATAACAGAACCATGTTTTCTCTTCTTTTCAATTCAGTCTTTGAAAGAGTACCATTATTGGACTGACTCTAGTGACTATGCCACTCCACAGTAGTGCCACACGTTAGATAATTATTTGACTATCAGCAAATGCGTAGGAGAAGACTGTTACTAGAAAATGCACAAGGCAGGCACTGAAAGATGTGGGAAAAAACAGCTGGAATAAAATGCAGTGTTCAGCATAGCAGTGCAGACTGCTGACGTATTTCTGAGGTCAGAATATCTTAATTGCTAGGACTGTTCGAAAACTGAACGTTAGAAAGAGAAATAAAGCTGTTTACAGAATGTAAAGAAGCAGTGCAGACATGAATGTTGAGGAATGTTTTCAGGACTCCTTCTGTACTGAGGGAAAATTTTCCTGGGATAGGTAGGAGAGATCTATTTTTCATTCAAAATGTGATGTGATGTATATTTTCTCAAAATATCTAAATAACAGTGCCATGTTGCACTGAGAAACACAGGTAATTTTTTCCAAAATGCTGGGGCTTGGCAGCTGCCAGAATGCAGTTTTGAGGGCAACAAGGGTTGGTGATGTGCTGGAACTCCAACTGACAACATTCAGAGCACTTTCTCTTTTCCCTGGTGTGACAATTGGCTAGAAAAAAAAATAAATTCAACCTTTGCTAATATTTCTTTACAGTGAACAAATACCATGATTTGTGCTATTTATTTGTCCCTGCCTGTGACAAGGGTTTATACAGAGAGGCATTAGTTCTTCATATACATAAAATAAAATATATATATATATAATAAATTATTTGGTTTGGGAAGGTTTGGAGGTTAAAAAAATAGAGGAAATGGAAGTGACAGAATTATGGACATTTAGCTAATTCTGTTACCAGTGAAACAGTTGCTCTTCTAGATACAAAGTTCCCCAACAATTTTTATTTACTCCAAATCATCCTAGTATTTGACAGCAAAGTAAAAGCAGTAAAAAATTTCAAAGAAAGTTTACAATTCCAGGATAGATTTATCAACTTAAAAATATTCTGACTCTTCAGTGAAAATGATTGGTCTTGAGAATTGCAGTTTTTAGAATAACCATGTTGCCTGAAGGCAGCTTTCCATTAGGAATTTTATTTTATTTTTTTCTGGTAAATCACAGAAAATCAAATTATTTGTTTCTCTCAGTACAAAACCAAAGATTACTTCAGTGGGAAGTATGTTTATAGCAAAAGTACGTCAGGGTTTTTGTGTATTCCAGTTCCAAAAGCGTTAACATGTACTGAAGTCAATGAAAGACATACTTGGTACTCTGTTAGTAGAACTGGGCCTCACATTCTCAGCGTTTCTCCAGGTAGTGTTACCGCAAACCAGCATGCTTTATGCATCACGTCAGATGTGTTAGCTCATCAGTTTCAGTGTGACAGAGAGATATAGAGCAGAATTTCTCTGTAGCAGGATGAAGGTAAGCTCATTCTTCTGGCTTGTTTCTAGAAAGAAAGATAAAACATAAAAGTTATTGCTGATGGAGTTCTTCGCTTTGTAATTTATTTTCTTTCAACATTTTGTAAACATTTTCAGAAAAGCCTCTTAGATTTTCATTTAGAGTAAGGCTCATAAACCAGGTGGGTGAGATTCAGGTTTCATTGGTAAACATCCTTTTGTGGCCTATCCTTTTGATAGCACTCATCACGCGGCCTCTCCTCCGTGCACGTTAGACATTCAAAACAGAAACATTCAGATCTTTTGGGGATACAGGTTGTGTCTAGATTTTGGTTCTTCCATTTTAAATTTGCTTTAAGAAATTCTTTCTTCATTTTTTTCTATCCACCTTCTATTCTTTCTTCCACATCATATCATGCATTCCAACTAGTGAATTTTTCTTCTGGTTTCAGGAAGAGTCCTATAAATAGTTGTAGAGCATTTTTTAGTACTAAATATTTTCTGTAACTCTGTCTTGGGACATGTTAAGACTGACAAAATTCTTTGTAACGACTCGCAGCTATAGGCACATGGTTCAAACTTCAATTCAGTGCTGACAGTCATAGATGCCATACATGATAAAGAAATTGATGATGTCTCCAAGCTTTTGTAGAATTTGGGGGTGTTTCAGGCTAGATTTCTGGGCGTGGAGACAGCTCTTTAACATAAGAATGGCTGTGTGATCCAGTAGATGACGACCCAAAATGTGTTATTTAGGAAAACAGACTTTTATTGAATCTGTTGATACCTTGCTGTGCATCCTAGCACAAACCACTTCTCTTTCATTTATCCTGTTTTCCCATGGAATGGAGAATGCCAGATGGGAGTTAAAAGGAAATGTTATATGAGAATGACATTTCCTTCATAATGTAATTTGAAATTTGGGACTGAAGAGTGACATGTGAGATTACAATAATGTGGGCTGTACATGAACAGCAGTCTAGGTAGGTTTTGATGTCAAAAAAAAAAAAAAAAGGTTAAAAAAGGAATAGATCTATGGTAGGAATATAGTAGGAGTAGATACTGAACACATTTATTTCCTTTTTGATGAGCAAGAGAAAAAATGCCATTCTCTGAACTGAAAATACATGCTTTTTAATTAAATGTTAAATAATTATGCAGTATATCTGTGGTGCTTCTAATCCTAACAGCAAAACAAAACAAAACAAAACAAAAAACAGCAGTGTTTCAAAAATGGAATGATGGGAATACTGTCCAAAATATATAAAATAAATAAGTTTGTGAATTATTTGGCTCCCTTGCGGATAAAGCTAGAAAAAAGGGGTTAGTACTGAAGTAAAAAAATGAGTACATATTTTAGGAGTTGAACACTATATCACAAATTTTTTGTGTTTTAGCTAGAAGAACAACACCCCTTTTGGAATATATTAAAAATAGAAAATTAGAAAAGCAGGTACGTTCAGACTTTTGCCTGAAGTTCAACATTTATGTTTCACATGGTTTTCCTTTGGACAATTTACAATTAAGCATTTTGAACTCTTCAGAGAATTCGAGAAGAGAAACGAGAGGAACGAAGGCGGAGAGAACTGGAGAAGAAACGTCTGCGGGAGGAGGAGAAAAGGAAGCGCAGGGAAGAGGAAAGACGTAAAAGGAAAGAAGCAGAGAAGCAAAAGAAAATTTCCGAAAAAGAAATAAGGATCAAGGTATTTTAATGAAAAAATATTCCTCTGATGAAGTTATTTAGAAGTTGCTTTGGTTTCACACTAGTACTGTTTATACAGTGTGCTGCAGTACATTGAGTCGATACAGTTTTTGCTGAAAGGAGAATTAAAGTAGGGTTTATACTAAGTAATGTTGTTGAAAAGTCTGACTAATTACCTTAGGTACCATGATGTGCTAATGCAGTTGCAATGACAGGTAACTCAGATGCCTTTTAATAACACTGCCAAATTCTGTGCTGATGTAACCTGACAGAACCAAATTGTTCTGTGCTATCACCTGGGAAGATTATTGCAAATATGGCTTCTAACACTTTGTCAGGTAAATCTTCTTCTAGCCATATCTGCTGAAGGTGTTTTGTGTTTATACTCAAAACTGATTTATTTTAATAATAGGCTTTCACCAAATTATTAAATGTTTTGTTATAGTTTATATATAATTATATATTTTAATAGTGTTATAATTATACAGTACACCTACATGGTGTATAAATACTATAATATCTAAAATATACTATAATTTTCCCTGAAAGAAAAAGAAAATACTACCTGAGAGAAACATAGAAGTTTTAAGTATCGGAGAAGAATAACATGTGATTTTTAAGAACAACTGGTGGAAAAAAAGAATGGTGAGATGTTCTACTTATGAAGTGTTAGAAGAGTAGTTTCAGACAGTTGATCCTTCTATAAAGATTACTTCTGTAATGCCAGACACTGCTTAAGCCCTGTGTGGATTATTTCTTGTGAAAGTAACAGAATTCTTGGAAATCTTGGTCTCCAAAATTAAAATGTAATATAATCTTTCCTGGTAACATCATATTTTTTCCTCAGTCTCTATTTCTATCAAGGTATATTTATATGAAGCACCTATTTCTGTATGCCAGCCTGTCCCAAGTAATTCATATGTTACACATTTTATATGTAATACTTCAAGGAGTGAGCTATTAATCCTGCTCTTTTTGTGGTATTGTAGAGATTCTCCTTTTATTTTGTTGGCAATAACGCTGAGCTCTGTTGTTACTTGATTTCTAAGAAATCATAGACTATATATAAAGCTAAAGAAAGAAGAGCAGGTAAGTGCTTTCTCCAGTACTCTTGGCATATTTAAAAGCATGCTGTTGAGTGCCTGTTAATGACTGCCATTCCTTAGCAAAAGTAAACTGCCCTCTTAAAATGACGTTTTAAGTTTTATACTATGCAACATATATTCATAACATTATTAAATAAGATTTAAATATCTTCAGTCTTAATAGGTCATTGATATATTTAATACATTGTTAAAATATCCATTACAACAGAGGAGTTTACATCATAATATACACAAATATTTCTTAGCTTCTTAAGAAGCCGGAAAAGGGAGATGAGCAGGCCAGTGAAAAGCACAAAGAAAAAGATGAAGATGCTGACATTGAAGAAAACAAATGGGAGAAGTCCCCTGGGTCTGGGAGTATAAAATCCAAATCATCTGAGGGCTCACTAAAAGAACTGAAGGAAAAGTAAGTAATATTTATCTTTTGGTCTCCAGGTTATATCCTAAATGCTTTGATATGAAGGCTTAAACATGATGCAAGTGTTTGGCTGTGTGTTTGTCAGCAAGGAGCTGATTTAATTTTGCACGTGAACTGTCCTTTTTGTAAGGAGTGTTTGGTAACAACTTACTGACCTGATGGCAGTATTAGTGGATGCAATTTATTGTTTGTGAAGTGCATTGAAATCCCAGGTTGGAAGGATTTCTGCATGAAAGATCGTTGAGAGTTTCTTTGTTATTTCATCTGTTTCCCCACCAAGAGCTCAGGTAAGGCCCAATTTCTGTTACTGATATTGAAGACTAAATTACCTTCAGTGCCCTATAATTCATCACACTGGCTTCATTTCTGCTGCAATAAGCAAAATGTGTTTGATAAATGGGACAACAGCAGCATAGTTAGGGTGTGAACGACAGCCTTATGACAGATGCATGCAGAAGGCTGTCAGTCTCTCACTGCCTTTTGTATTCCACATGCAGTAGTCAGAACAAGAGGCGTAGCGTAGTTCTGCCGTTGCTCTAGCCTCATTCCCACAGCCCATCATTCCTACTCTTGTCTGCCCGTTCCCCAGGGCTGAATTTTAGAAAGCAACTTCAACCCCCTCTGGAGCTGGGGTTTGTTTCCCTCTCACCGATCAACCACCGGGCACGTGTGTTCCTCATCACCCCCAGTCACAGAGGAGCTAGATGGGTACCAGGCAGTGCTACAGCAGTGAGGCTGGATGTGTCTTCCTGCCTTTTGGGAAGGCCATTCTCCAGAGCCTCTAGGCCTTGAAGGTAGCATCTAGAGTTCATGACAGTTTTCATAGTTACATTATCCAAAAGAAAAAAAAAATAGTGTAAAAAGATAAACATTTATTCATATTAAACCAACCTGAATGAGAAACACGTCTCACTGCTTGATCACTACATCATTGGAAAGTCTCCAGCCTCTCTAATTCTCTCTGCTGATGGAATGTGAGCAGACTGTCAAAATCAACTTTCCTTTTTCAATTTTAAGTATCGGATATATGTAATATATAAAAAGAAACTACCTGTATTTGCTGCTTTTAAAATTTAATCTATTTTGTGATCTTTCTTCAATATTTGTAGTTTTGCCTTACGAGAGCAGCACACGCTTGCTGAACAGGAACACCCAAGTAAAAAAGAGAGGTGTGGATTGTATCCGGCAGCAAAACGTTGCAAACTAACAGTCTATAATATAAACCCATAGCGTAAATTAAATATTATGTTGTGATAAGGCAGTGCTCTTTGACCTAAAATATTGAAAGATAGAGTCAATTATTTGGAGACACTGTAAACAAAAGCCTAGAACACAAGTGTTCACAATGTGAGTCTTCTCAAGAGCAGCCCACAAGTCCTGAGCACGCAGCATGTGATTGTGTGAGGATCATTGGGGAGCTACTCAGGGGGTTGCAAAGAGGGGTAAAGGTTGAAGAAGAGTCCTCCCACAGTAGTTACACAAGAGCCAGATTTTGCTTGGAAAGCTTTAACATTTTGGACTGAATGCATAGTCAAGAGCTGGACATACATGAATGAGATATTCAGCAAATTTGCACATAATCCACTTCTAATAATAATAATAAAAAAAAGAGCCTTACCATACAATTCATCTAAAGAAGGTTGAAGTCCAAGGAAAACTTTGTGTCATGTCCTTCGACAGCTTTTTATTACTGTTAATTGCTTGGATTTTCTTTCTTTTCATGCATATTCGTAGGTCACAAAATGATAGTGACAAAGAGCAAAGAGATTTGGAGAGAAGATTTCGAGAAAAAGAACCTGAAAGACAAAGGTATCGATTGGAGGATGGCAGAAAGCATAGAGCTCACTATGAGTTTGACAAGTTTGTGAGAAGGAATGAAGAAGAGCTGAAATGGGGGAAAGGATACAGCCAAGACAGAGGAAAGAAAGGGAACCACACCTACAGCTTCACTGTGGAGGCAGTAGACAAACTGGGTAAAGAGGACAAGTGTGATGACATGGCATCCAAAAAGGAGCGCATAAGAAATAAGGTTCTTTTATTCATTTAGGATAATCTTTCATTAGTTAAATTTGCTTCAAGGTCACAGGTTTTACTTTGGCAAACTCAGCATAAAGATGCTTTTCTTAAGAAAAAGCAGTTCTTTATTTCATTTTCAGTAAAACCCTGACTTCTTTTTATTACTGGTAGAGGACAACAGCAGCTAAAATAAGTTAAGGTCACTGGTCTCTGCTTATTTGTGTGTACAATATATAGCATACTCTATGTCTTCCTTTCAACCCTGGCATTTTTAGAACGCTATTCTTGGAAGCTTTGTATTTTATGAGTGTGTTAAAAAATGAGATACATCTGGTCTGCAATGAAACTCAAAATCTGCGGCATGCTAGCCTTTTAAAAATATGTTTCCATTACCCAGCCCATAAAATAATTAAATCATGGGATGGCCAGGACATGCCTAATAGGGGAACTGTACAGACATTAATAAAAAGCTAATTCAGAAGCCACTGCATTTACAAGGTGTGAGTGTGTGAACCCTTCAGTGTTTTGTATACCTGCCAGTTAGAAAAGGCTGGTGTTTGCTTACCACAAATGATACTCATGGTCAATGCCAGGGAAAGAACAGGTGCAAAAATGGTGCCCGTAGCAGGGCGTACATTAGATCTTTCCCTTCTTGCCTCCCGGAACTTGGATGTCCCGAAGTCTTTTCAGGAGGTAGTTATCCCTGTCAGCCTCATTCCTTCTCTGTTCTCATCCCAGATTTCCTGCAAAAGATGACAGAAACACTGTTTTGTGTAGAATTTTTTACAATGTGTGAAACCTTCCAAACCAAATTCCTGATCAGTGGCAGAGGCTAGAGCTGGTAAGGGGTAAATTGGTCACATGTGGAGTGAATCCATACGAGTGTATCCAGAGCCAGTCCAGGTGGCCTCGCTGTGCATGCCGTGGAGGTCACTTGGTGCAAACCCCAGAAGCCCGATGTGCCCGGCTCTTTGCTTATGCAGAGCTCAGCTGCACAGCGTGCACGAGGTTTATCTCCATGTGCATGAGAACCACTTTCCACGTACACCAACAGCTCAAGCTTAGAGCAGTCAGAAAACTGGTTAGTTCAGAAACAGGAATATGGGAAAAGCCTTTTTTCCTCATGTTTGCTGTGCTAAACTTGGAGTCTGGTGAAATATCTGCAGCCATGGTGGGTGCTGGGGGCCTTTTGTCAAGCCTTAAGAAGACTCCTCATTTTTAATTCCTCTCATCACACTTCTGGTAGCTTGCTGAGTCTCTGTATTAGTCCACACTTCAAATTCTAGGTTTGTTCCCTAGCCAAAATAATCAATAATTGTAAAACTGTTTGCAGTTTTGTTACTTTTTTTTTCTTCTTAGAGTATTTATCACAACAGAAGCTGAGTTCTCCTGCTTACCTACAGAATTAATATAATCAGCACAAGTTTTATACAGACCAAGCATCTTTCTGGAGTTTGTAAGAATGAGAAAATGGGAAATTGATGAGCTGTTTGTCACGAAGAAAGATCCACGTTATGCATTTCCTATGACACTACGAAGCACTAGCTCGAATGATCTGGTTGTATGGCCTGATCGTGAATCTTGATATCTGGTCTAATGAGATGGAGAATAAAGTGGAACAAAAAAGACACACAAAGGGAAAATACATAGCAGTAATAAGAAAAAACAAACAAACAAAAACAAAATGAGAGAATAAAAGATCAGAATGACTTCAAGTTATAAAGAGCGATGGAAATTGATACATTTTGATGTAGAACAATTTCAGCACTCTGCAACTGTCTTAAAGTAGGCTGTTTAATTTTGCTTGCTGAACTTAACACGAGAATTCGATCAAAAAGCTCTGGTTTTGGTGAATGGGTTGCCCTGTAACGTTAACAACTGGTATTTGTGAGAGTAAAACACTGTTCCTAGGAGAAGACTTCTTAAGCTGAGTTTCAATAATACATTCCATTATTGAAATGTCAGGAACAAAAAGTGCCCCAAGAGCTGTGGAAGCAAGTTCAAGGTGTCTTTTCCTTATAAATTGCTTCCTTCCATTTTACATTGATCAAATCAGCACGTGTCTGATCAAGTCACTCCCAAAGTCTGCTTGTTTTAAAATCATAATTTGGTTATTATTATCAGTGGGTGAATTCCCCTGCTCCCATACTCGGTATGGGAGGCATGATGAAGCAGAGCAATAACAATCCAAATGTGTAACACTGTGTCTGATAATTGTCTGCAGTATGTCTCCATGTTTACATCAGTTGTACCCCAAGATCTTTAAATTTTAGAGCTTTCTTCATTTATTCAAAATACTTTGTTTCCAAGAATAGTGTTGTAAGCAAGACAGATGTTAAATACTCAGTTGATTTTCATCACACTTCATTTTTTCCCAGGTCTTATGATATGTAAAGTAATTTAACACAAAATCTACTTTCTTCACAAATATTAATCACTTTAAAATCCCACGTGTGTATCCCACATCGTTTTTCAGAGAGTTAACCATATCTGCTTCCTTCTAGGATCGTCCAGCCATGCAGCTCTACCAGCCAGGAGCTCGCATTCGAACACATACGGGACCTACAAGTAAGACCTATGACTGCAGTGGGAAATCTTTTGAAGATGCTCTTGACAAAAAGTATGAGGCAGATAATTCAGCTGGAGGTGGTTCTGAGAAGAGCGAGGAAGCAGAATAAAACAAACCGGAGGAAAGACTCGTGAAAAAGGATGAACTTAAAGATTTAATGTCGCCACAAAAATCCATAGGGCTGTTCCAGATCTCCAACACCAATAAAATTATCATAGCTCTCTCATACTTCCTGAGAAATAAAGGAAAGAGTGACTGAAGATGTATAAAACATCCCACAGCAAAGGAATGTTGTTGCTTTTTCACAAAAAGCTGAGCAAGCACCATTTGCCTAATTTAAAAGCAGTTTGATGTTATGTTGGATTTACCTTGAAATATAAAACCTCTAAGAGTTTTACAGGCGCATTTATACGAAACTTTTCAGAGGCTATCTCACCGTTTACAGTCTGAAGAAGTGAAACGTGGATTTGTGTCAGTCTGAAATCTGAGGCACTTCACAACGTGTTCGGTGCATGGCACGGCGGGCACAGGGCCCCCTCCTGCAGACAGCAGTGGCGGCTGCTGCCACAGGGAACCGAAGCTCTGGAGCCGGTGGGGTTTGCAGGATGAGGCCCACGGTTTACAGCTGTGAGGAATGTCCCTTGGTATCTGTACCTCATTGTGTTTACGTCGTTTTTCAATTAACCCTAGCGTCAGATAAGTGTTGTTAAAGCTGCAAGTACGTTGTTGGAGCGTTTGTCATTTTCTGAGCCACTTCTGCCTTTTGCGTTTTAACAGATCTTGTGCTTAAAGCAGAAAAAAAGCTAACATGAACCTCAGCACTTAAACGAATGCCTGGTTTTATTAAATTAGCTGTTTTTCATGTTTTTGACACTGACTTTTAAAAAAAAAGTGGTTGTACAATGATGACTTTTTATATGCTAACGTTTCATATAAGTTGCAGTTGCAGGATTTGGGAAACGCAGGCTGTGTGAAAGCTCTGAAGTCCAATTTATTAATAAACACCCGAGCGACAACTGCAAACTGCCATTTTGTAAGAATGGTCAAATTCTGCCCCCTGATGCAAGCATATATATATATACACACACACATATATATATATGTGCACACACATAGTGCTTCCATTGGTTTCAATGACAGCCGCATGTCTAGGGAAGGGCAAAACACGTTCATTTGTCTTTTAAGGCTGAAAGTTTCTCAGTTGTCTGAAACTGAGACCTGCTTTGTCAATTAAGTTAAATAGTAAGATATTAACTTGTTTTTACATCCTCTTTGAACATTTTGTTATTAAGCATATCATCTAGTTGTTCTAAACTGAAGAATTATTTATTGTATTTTCCCAGATATTAAGCATTAAATAGAATAAAAGCAACAAGATTTTGACTGTGATTTTGAGCATCGACCTTCTGCATTTTTTTATCTAGTATTCTAAAAAAAAATAAGTAGGATGCTCTGCTGCTTGGTATTCTTCAGAAGATAAAAATACAGTTGAGAAAGATTTTTAAATATCAAACTACGTAAGTGAGGTGCCAGCTAAAATTACTTCAAAGCTGAAGTAAAAACAGCTGTTGGAGAATTATCTGGTTTTATCTCCAGCTAAAATTTATCTTGTTTACCAAGTTTATCCTGGCTGCAGAGAATTTGGTTTGGATTTTGGTTCAGCTTCCTGGCTGGGAAGAAAGAGCCTTAACCAGGACAGTTCTCCTGCTGTGGAATCAGACTGGGCTGAAATCTAGACCAGATCAGAGTCTGCATAAAACCAACCATTTACAGCCCAACGGGGTACCCAGGGGAAGAGGGCAGAGACCTGCAGGCTCGAGGAGGGATCTCATTTGTGAGAGGAACATGTAAGACAAGGAAAAGAAGAGATTTTGCACATCCTCTGAAACTTGAACTTGCTATTTTTGGCCAACAGTGGCTTTCAGGCAACTCTCTCACCTTCCCGTGAGTGCCTTGAGTAAGTATCTCTTGGTAGCATGGTAGGCGATTAACTAAATACAGTTTATTTAGCGGTAATTTTCCACTTGGGGTTTCATGTTTCCCATCTCTTTTAGTTACCAAAGATTGTGTTTCAAACCCTGACTCAGTAAAATCTGCCAGGGTTTAAACATCCGCATCTTTCAAGCAAAGCTGTCGATCCCTCACTAACCAGGATGCCTCCATCCTGCTTTATGGAGTTATTTGTGCTTTCCGGTCAATATAGCACCTTGAAAAGGTGGGTGCAGGGAGGCCGGCCTTTGGTTTACGTCTCCACATGGAGAGAGCGTCCAGAACATCCATATTCCCTGGGGAGGCCGGGCGGGAGGAGCTGCCACCTGCTCGGTGCTTGCTCATTTTCCTACGCCCCCCCTGATGACAAAATAAACGCAGGCTCGCAGCCTGGCTTTGTGCAGAGTCAGCGTGGCGTGAGAGCTTTATTTCCACAATAGCGACTTTGTGTTGCAAATTCAGCTTTGCTGAAAGTGGATCCAGCTTCCCTGAGAAATGGGAATTGCGGCTGGGTACGCCACAGCTGACTTGGGTGCCATCTGCTTTCTTGCTTTTGAAGTACAACGTGCTCTGTTTAATAAAGATCTCCACCAGCTTGACAGCCTCGCTGAATTGCTGTCCTGTTTCTTACTCTGGGTTCCCAGGTCATCGACATTTTGGGGTATGGAAATCTCCTTGCCTGTTAGGCTCAGTTCTGCCACGAACTATTGTGTTAAGGGAAGCTGATGCAGGATGTAAATATTCAGTAAAAAAATCTGCGTTCGCGCCTGTAGCAGTTTGAAAGAGAAGCTGATTCGATTCCAAAACATCATTCTGACAACTCTGTGTTCAATTTTTTAAACACGTTCTGCTGCTTATTTGTATTTAAAAACAAATGCCTGTGAGTTGTTTCCAGCCTTCGGAGGTCTGTGGCTTACCACGCTAGGTGCTCTAAGCCAACATTCCTCTTCGAACCACGCGCAGCTTCTCTGCTGGCTTTTTAATGAATGGCCCAAGCAAGGGTGTGTGTTGTACACATGACAAAAACCACCCACTGTGTGCAAATTTATGGTGAATAAAAAAAAAAATCACACCACAACTCACCACCACCACCAAATAAAAACAAACCGCCACCACCACACCAAAAATAACACTTTAAAAGGAAAGCAAAACAGAACAAAACAAAAAAACTCGTTTAGCACCCCCTCTGCCCCAACCTCATGTAACACAGAATGTTAAAAATCAGATGGGAATATGAGTTGCAGGTTGCTGGTTTGAGTCTTAAATGATGAGAGGAGGAACTTAACAGTTCTTGAGTGATAATTATTTAACTCTGTTTCCTTTGAAAGAAAGAATCTGTGAAACAAACGGGAAACCTTCTGAGCCTTACTCAATAGCATTACCTTACCAAGTGACCTAAAAGAATGCACTCTATCTTCTCTGCAACCACTTGGGGTTTGCCAAGTTCATTAGCTTCTCGAAGACCACAAATACATAATAATACATAAAGTAATTCTTACCAAGAGCTTGTTCATCTTTTAACAGTTTAACTCACTCCCAAGCCTCTTTACTGCTGCATAACTAAATATATATATTTTTTTTCCAGCTGTATTTCATGACTTACACTTCATTAGGCCACACCTCGTGCTATTTGCATATCTCATTGACAACTATGTCCATAAATACTACCAGAAGGTCGCTGCTGCTGCATATATAAACGTCGCAGTCTTTTGATCTAAGCTGACACACTCACACAAGATCTCAGATAGCAGTCGTCAAGGCAGGGATCTCTGCCTAATACCAGCAGGCTTCCAGGGAGCAGCTTTGATGAGAAAGATGAAATGCTCTCTGAAAGGGCAAGGACTACTCTGAGAGGGGTTTTTAATGCTGCTATGAAAATGGTGTACTGACTTAAGGTCCAGGCAGGAGCTGTATTTGCCTCCTGTATGTGCAGGGAGGAGACAAAAAAGATGCAGAAATGAGAAGCTCTTTTTTGTTGTTGTTGTTTCATCTTCATAAATATTTATATATTCTGAAGCCAAACATGAATATTTGAATAAAATCTGTAGGATTTTTTTTTTTTTTTAAAAAAAAACAGGATCTCAGATGCCAGATCTTGTGAACATGGAGAGAAAATAATGTTAGGAAGATTCAGCTGGTGAAACAGAGGGTTCTGATTATCCACAACATGAGGCACCTGGTCTGTTGCTGCTGATCTGCATCCAGGCCTCTGTTTTGTATCGCTTTCTATCTCTGTTTACTACAGCAAAAGAGACAGTTCTACTAAACGTACCCGATTTGAAATTCCACCTCACATTGTTTCTTAACAGTGAGCTGGAGAATGAGCACCAAAATCTGAGCATTACTTACAGCATTACCCGCTGCAGTTTTTTGCGTGTCTTTGACAGCTGTCGAAAACCATCAGTATCTAGAAATATGTGAACAACCAGGCTCTAGGGCATTTGCACTAGGAAATCATAATGCCTCTGACATGAATTAACTGCGTACTCCAGCATGCTGTTGCCAAAGACATTCCTCACTGGCTTTGCTGCAAAGAAAAGAAGACAGAGAAGAACAAATAGAAAATGATCTTTACATAACCTGATTATTTATAAACATGATCATGAATGCAACAAGGCTGGGTTAGGAATACGCGAATACATCAGAGTTAGGAGGACAGAGATTGGGAGAGGGACTGCAGAGGAGAAAATAGACTGGGCCATTTCCGTGTATGTTGATGAGAAAGAGGAAACACGAGCTGATGGCGAGCTAGATGCTGGCTGTACAGGGAATTGTGGAGAGGCTGGGGATGGTTGTGACTGAAAACTTGTATGAAGTGTGGACACAGAAGCTGGATGGGGAGCAGCCCCATGACTGGTGAGGGGTCTGGAGAAAAAGTCTTAACGAGGAGCGGCTGAGGGAGCTGGGGTTGTTCAGCCCGCAGAAGAGGAGGCTCAGGGGCGACCTTATTGCTCTCTACAGATACCTTAAAGGAGGCTGTAGCGAGGTGGGGGTTGGCCTGTTCTCCCACGTGCCTGGTGACAGGATGAGGGGAAATGGGCTTAAGTTGTGCCAGGGGAGGTTTAGGTTAGATGTTGGGAAGAACTTCTTTACTGAAAGGGTTGTTAGGCACTGGAACGGGCTGCCCAGGGAGGTGGTGGAGTCACCATCCCTGTAAGTCTTTAAAAGACGTTTAGATGTAGAGCTGAGGGATATGGTTTAGTGGAAGACTGTTAGTGTTAGGTCAGAGGTTGGACTCTGGGATCTTGGTGGTCTCTTCCAACCTAGATGATTCTGAGATTCTGTGACTGGTCCTGCTGGGTCCCAGCTTTCATATCCACTGATTTTGTACATACACCTACACAGCCTTCAGGTAGGAAAGAGGGTTGGCAAGCCCCACAGTCATTTTCCAGTGGTGGGAAGGGAAAGGAGGGACTTGCTGTTCAAAGGACTTCTCATTCATGGAGGAGAACAGAAGAGAAAAAGCAAGGATGTGCTGGGAGCTGCATGTCCATGGGTTGCAGACACACTGTACCTGGTCGATCCTCAATCCCAGTTCAGGCTCTGGAGCCTCTGCAGGATCAAGATTTTCAGATGCTGCCCCATATTAGTTCATTCACAGCGCCGTAAATATATCTTCATTATCCTTTTAGTGTTCTAGTGGACGTGGTAAATGCCTTATGAAACTGAAAGCAGTTTCACAGATGTTTCCTTAATTTACAACGCTACCCTACAATACAAGAAGTAAAGATGAATCTGTATTGAAAACTTTTAAGTTATTTATTTAAAGATTGAATACCTAAGAAAAATGTACTTTGAAATGCATTATGTAGGGCACAAACATATTTAATGGATATTTAAGACACACATTCTATCACTTACGATTTCTCTATAGCTACAGTGTTAGGCAACAGCTTTACTGCTCTGTTCATTACAGCTGTTGCCATGTAATGAGAACAAAAAGGCAATTCCAGAAATCCGGAGGTCTAAGAGAAAGTAATTTAGAGGCCTAAAAGAATGAAATAAAATAGCTGTCTTGCGTGGTTATACTCCATGCCTTCAAATTGCTAATGTTTTCATCAAGAGAGAAAATTCACAGGTGGATATGAAAACTTTTTACATTTTTGATTATGCAAAAATATAATCTGGAATTGCAAAGTATATGCAAAATATGTGCAATAATGTTAACTGAAAGCGGGGATACTCATGAGGATTTAACATGATTTCTTAAAACAAATGAAGTCCACAGATGTAGAGAAAAAAATTCTTAACAAGTTAGGAAAAATAAGTGCAACCATAGAATACAAAATAGGACTTACTCGCTAGGGCTGTGACCTCTAACACATTATTTAGTCTGTGTTTGCTAGTGCTATACTTGCTCTATAATTGCAAAAAAAATCTTTATGGAGTTTCTTCGTCTC